GGCGGCGCGGGGGCGGTACCTGTTGTTCGGGGCCTTGCGCACCAGGCCGACCGCCTTTGTTTTCTTCCTGGTGAAGTCGCCGTCGAAAGGGAGCACCGAGGCGTAGCCGTGCTCGGCCTCTGCGGACAGACGGCGCAGTCAGCGGCCCCCACCCGTCCGCCGTCCGCCGCCCGCCGCCCACCCGTGCACAAAGACGCGCGGACTACCTCGGTCCCGGCGCTCCAGGTACTCGGCCGCCTCCAGCAACAGCAGCAGGGAGTTCAGCTCCATCCTGCTGCCCGCGCCCAGGACGGAGGCGGCTGCTGCCCGGCGCGCTCCGGCCGGCTCCGCTGCCGCCCGCCCCGCGCGCCCCGCTGCTCACTTGCCCGACTAGCGGACTCCTAAGCTCGGCCGCCACCCTCCGCCTCGGGCCCTCAAATTGACACATAAGGGAGAGCGGCGTCCGGCACAACCAATGGGAACTGGTACTGAGGCCCTGGAGGCGGGCTCTGGCCAGGATCCTAGCCAATGGAGACGGTCCGAGCACCTCGGGCCGGACCGAGAATGTTGACAGATGAGAAGCTCGCCCGGGATAGGCCGGCCGCGGTAGTAACAATTTAGAAGCCCAAGCTTAGCAACAGCACGTGGTGGCCCGGCCCCCGCGCTCCCTGACTGGCGGCTGCTGTGCATGTTAAGTAGGCGCTGCGCGTGGATTGGACCAGGGCGGTCTATGTAAATTGAGGTTGTGGACCAATGGCCAGCGTCTGGGCGTTCAGCCAATGAGGGCGTTGCGGCCGGACGCGTTGCCGAGAGGAAGCGGTGCGCCGTGTGACCGCCGCCCGGCAGTTCGCTGGGGCCGTGGGGCGCTGGCGCCCCCCGGGAGACACCTGGCGGGATGCGCAGCAGGACACGCGCCACCGCCTCGTGCACGCCGTGCTCGGGGACCTGTTGCCCAAACTGGCGGCTGCACTGGCTCTGCGGGAGGACAGGGCCCCTCGGTGGCTCGGGGTCTTGCGTGGAGCTGGAAACGACTCCATCCCCGAGGGACACGGGGTGGCTTCAGGAAGGCCAGGACTCTGGGAGGGACACAGCCAGTCTGAGCCTAAAAGCAAGGCTTCTCTGAAGGTGTCCGTGGGGGAGCCCAGGCGGGAGCCGAGTGTCCTCCGCGCTGTCCAGAGGACACCAGGGGCCCTGCCTGGGAGAGGGACCGCGGTCTACCGCATGGGCACGGGCCCCTCGGTGTCCCCTCCCGCGGGTCCCCTGCCTTTAGGGAGGACCCTGCTCTCTGCCGCCAGGTCTCCTAGATCGCCCCGACCTGCGCTCCGCCCTCCAGGACTGCTGCTAGATCTTCCTCTCGCTGTCTGGCCTTTGGGTTTGGTTTTGGTTTGGTTTTGCTTGCGGTACTAGTAATGGAACCCGGGGCCTCACACGCATGCTAGTGGCAAGTGCTCTGCCACAGAGCTGTATCCCCGCCCCCTTAAAGTTTTGTTTGGAGACAAGGGCTCACTAAATTGTGATCCTGCCTCAGCATGCCAGGCAGTTGCAGTGACAGGCGTGCACTACCCCGGCGCTATCGCTGTTTTTGTCGCGCCTCGGTAAGGGTAGCAGGTGTTTTATGGCATAAAGTGGCCGGCCACCGCATACCCAGAAGTTGTAGATGAGACGGGGCTCTGCTGCCAACCGAACGAAAACTGCTAAACCGCAGCATTTTGGGTCCGAGCACCAATGTGAGTGCTATGTGCATTTTCATTTGCCCCGCCCCGGGCTCCTGGAACCCGGTCCTCGTGGCCCGGGAGCGCCGGGAGCGCCGAGATAGAGCCACCCTGGCACGTGGCCCTGTTGGGGCTCGAGCCCCGCTCACCGAGCCAGCGGGGTTGAGTGACGTGCGCTCCCCCGCCCTGCGGGACCCCGGACGAGACACAGGAGGCTCCCTGCGTGGACTCGGAGTCACGGGGCCCTTCCTGCCGCAGCCCGCCCGCGGGCAGAGGGAACAAGATCGCTCATCTCGGCTTTGGGACCTAGAGAAGGAGCTCGTCACCTCCTGCCCTGCGCCGCCGCCATGCGCAGGTGGCGCGCGTGACCGTGGGAGCCGCCTGCCTGCTCCTGCCAGGGTTCATTCGGACCCCACCCCCAGCCGCCCCCAAGACTGGGTGCGACCTCCCGGGAGCTGGGGTGACCGGCCAGGCTGGGACTGCGAGGGACAGCCGTAGAGGGTGTGGGGCAGACCGCGGGGCGCTGCAGGCCGCTCTGGAGCCCTGGGGATCCGGAAGCCGCCACACTCCCCTGGGGCTGGCAAGTGTCTAGGCCAGCCCCCATGGGCAGCCAGATTGGCGCTCGAGCAGGTGCCCACGGAGCCCCAGCGGCTGGGAGGAAGAGGATGCAGGCGGCCCGCAAAGCAGGCCCAATGGGAACCTATGAAGGCAGCGGAGGGGCGGACCGGCTGGCACCTACAGCCTCCCCTCCCTCCCGCCCAGGCCCCCACACTATCCAGGGGCTGAGGCTCCTCACCCCACTGTGCGCCCCTCTCTGTACATCGAGGCCTCCAGGGGCTCCCACCTGCAGCCCTCCTGGACCAGCCTCTGAGTGCCAGCCACCCAGTCTCTATGGATCTCTGGGGGTGCAGCTCAGCCCACCTGGCCAGTGGTTCCAGGAGAAGGGTGGAGGATCCTCCCTTGTTGTGTGTTGGGGGGGGGGACTAGGGCTGCCTGGCCTTCCTGGATGCCCTCAGCCTCAGCCTCCCTGGATATAGATGAGGCTGGCTCCCACCATGGGGTCTTTGGAGGAGGGGTGCGCTGAGGGATTCCCACCCACCCTGGCCCCCAAGTCCCAAGAACCTGTAGAAGACTCCTTCCTGGCCCCCCCAGGCTGGCTGAGTCCTGCTTCCCTTTTGTAGGTCCTGGACCATCAGACTCTTGTCATCCCCCCAGCATTGCCCACAGCTTCCTGGGTGTCTGAGGACCTCAGCCAAGCATTGGGGAGCACCCTGCACACCCAGGATGAGAAGGCTGGTGGAGCCTTCCTTCTCTAGGGGCTGGCCCAGCCCCTCTTGCTTGTGGCCTCTGCCCTGTGTCCTTTTTGGTCACTGGGTAAACACCCTGAAGTTGCCTGGATCCCTGCTCCTGGCACCCCTGATGCCTGGCTGTCCGCTGGGGGGGGGTGTCATTTGCTCCTGAGGGCAGCTCTGGCCTCAGGGCAGGGCTGGATCAGCAGCCCCAGAGAGCCATGGTGGCACCCTCGACTCTAGTGCGGCTGTGAGGTGGTGGCACAGTCACTGAGACTGCCACACCTGGCTCTTGGGGTGTAAGCAGGATGTCTGGAAAGCCCTGGTAGCAATGGGTGCCCAGGAGGTAGCAGAGTGTGAACATCACGCCACGTGGGCAAGAGCTCCAAACCTCTGCTCCCTGCCCCCGCCCCCACCCTCTGAAGTAGGCCCAGCGCTGCAGCCTCTGCTCAGAGCCCTGGTTGGGGCTGGGCTCTGGGCTGGCCAGCATGGGGCACCAGGCCAGGCCTCCGAGTATTTGCTGGGCTTCCAGAAACTTCGACATGCAGGGGAACATTGCCTGCAGAACACAAAGAGGACAGCAAAATCGAGACACATGAAGATGTAATTAAAGGTCTATGGAAACTAACATAGTGTCTGCATTACTTCTGGATTTAAAATAAGAAAACAGTTCATTACATTTGTGAGCAATGGGTGGGGTAGTTTTTCCCCTCCCTTTTCAAGGTTTTCCCACTAGACTGCAGAGCCCTGGACAACTTAGCAATTGTAATTTTTTTCTATTCATATTTCCTTTTGTGTTTTTAGCAATTGTAAATTAAATTAATTTCTCATAGCCAAAATTGTGCAGAGACAAAATGATAAATTTTCACTTCAAAGGCTTTTGCAGGGGTCGGGGAGCCATGATGGAAGGATGTGGGTGCAGATCAGGCCCCTATCTGGTGTTAGGGTGGTCCCGAGTGGCATGCCAGCTGGGTGGGCGGCCGAGCCCAGCCTCACTGCTGCTTCTAGGCTCACATGCGTGTGGGGACTTTTATGTCCCAGAGGCCTGGGGGCCCAAGCCGGGGGGGGGGTCCTCTCCCATGAACCAGAGGGTCTCTGGTGAGAGAATTATGGGTAGGGGAGGTGGCACTGCAGGGAAGGCTGCCTGGTGGAGGTGACCATAGAAGAAAACAAGTCCCTCCAGGACTCTGGGCATGGCAGTAACATGCAGCAGGCGCTCTGGGTCCTGTCAGCCTCTTTCTAACTCCTGTGTAGATTAGAAGACTCCAGACCTACAGATACCGTGAAGCTGCCCACCCCTCCCTGGTGGTTCAGGGTGTCCTGCTCCCTCTTTCCTGGCCCCTTGGAGCCACGGGGTATGGTCTGCCTGCCTCCCATCATTGCTCCTCTGCAAGTCCCTGACTCCTAGGCCCTCCAGGGACTGGCTTTGCTGGGGATGGTAGTGGGACAGCACAGCTGGTGTTACGGTTTGTGTCTGGATATCCCCCCTAAAGCCTCATGCAGTCATGGGGTGGGCTTCTAGAGTTTTTGATTGATCCATGGTCCAATGCTGGGATTGTGGGTGTGAGTGCTATACCCGCTCTGGGGCAGGTAGGTTGCGTACAATATAAGGGAGGGAAAGAGGCTTGTTTGCTGCTCCTCCCTTTTTGCTCTTGTTGCTTTTGCTGTCTTCTGCCACCATGAACTGTTGCCCTAAGCCATGTGCCACTCTGCCTTGGAGCCAGAGAAGTATGGACTGAAACCTCCACAAACTGTGAGCTAAACAAACCTTTCCTTTCTTAATTTTGGGCTTTGGGTATTTTGTCTCAGCAACGAGAGAAAAGTAACCAAGACAGAATTTGGTACCAGAGAAGTGGGGTCGTTGCTGTGACTATACTTGACCATGTGGTTTAGGAGCCTCTGGAAATGGCTTGTGGGAAGTGGTCCCCTACACTTGCCTGGAGATGTCACCTGAAAGAACACTCTCTGGAGATGTCACCTGAAAGAGAAGCACTAGAATGCCTTTGGCTGTTCTGTATGGGAGATTCCGGTCAGAGCTCAGAAGACCAGAAGGCTGATAGAAATCCTGCCAGTAAAGACCAGGCTCAGGAGGTTTCCGCTGGGGAGAAGGATTGCATTGGTTGTTGGGCTCCAGATAATGTGTGTAACAGCTTGGCAAAAAGTTTGTCTGCATTTTGCTCATGTCCAGAGACTTTGCTTGAGACTAAGATTTAGAGTGGTGGACTGATTAATCTGGCAGAAGAGATTTCAAGGCAGTCCAAAGTTGAGACAGTAGCATGGCTATTGTTGGGGGCTTTTAGCCAGATTTATGTTGAGAATGAAGAGCAAAGAGCCCAGCAGGATGATTTAAAATGTTGTGAGTTTGGCCAGAAAGGAAGCTCCAGTAAAGCTGTGGACTACAAAAATAGAGCTGAGGAGATCTCCATTGCTGAGGAGGAACAAGAAAATTGAAAAGATGGCCTGAGGGCATCAAAAGAAGCAAGTCTCCATCCTTTGCAGCCTCAGAACTGCAAAGGTGAAAGGCTTTGCTTTGAGAAGAAAGCCACACAGGGCCATGTTCCAGAATGCCGCCAGTGGCTACACCAGGTTCCAGAATGGTAGCAGCATAGAGAATTTGTTCTCCAGAATTGCATTCAGAGTGTCCAGTGACCCAGGCAGTCAACTCCTATGGCCAAGAGAGAGGAAAGCTTGGCTACTGCTCCAGGTGGCAGCAGAGCTTGGCATCATCCATGTGGCACTGGTTTTAGGCACATGCAGAGTTCTGAGGTTAAGGAGGCTTCCACCACGATTTCAGGAGACCTGGGAGGCCAGACAGTGTGCCCCTGAGAGGGCAGTGTGTGAAGCTGTGAGTAAGGAGCCAAAGGTACACTGGAAACCCCAGAAGTCTAGAAAAGCCAGGAACGTGGATTGTCTGCGGAAAGGTACAAAGCGGGCCCAAGAGAGAAGCCATGGGAGCTACAACCACCAGAAATGCCACAGGGGTGGAACCACGTGGAGCTCACAATTTGCCACAGATTGCCTTGGATACTGAATGTGGAACTGTAAGACTTAATGTTTGCCCTGTTGGATTTTGGACTTGCTTTGGTCCCAAAGCTCTGTATCCTCATTTGTACCTTTTGGAATGGTAATGTTTTTCTTGTGCCATTGAATGTTTCAAGTGTTTAACTTTGTATTTGTACAGCTAAGAGTTTGCCTTAGGTCTCAGAGGAGACTTGGGACATGGACTCTTCAGCAATGCTGAAACTGTTAGGACTCTGACAACTCTTAGAAATGGACTAAAATGTCTTTTGCATAAATGGATATACATGAGCCTTTGGGGGGTCCAGGGGCAAAATGTTATGGTTTGTGTCTGGATGTCTCCCCAAAGCCTCATGCAGTCATGGGGTAGGCATCTAGAGTTTATGATTGATCTATGGTCCAATGCTGGGATTATGGGTGTGAATGTGGCACCTGCCCTAGGGGGGTAGTTTGCCTACAGTGTCAGGAAGGGAAAGAGGCTGCCTGCCACCACTCCTCCCCTTTTGCTCTTGTTGCTTTTGCTGTCTTCCACCACCATGAGTGGTTGCCCTCTGCATGTGCCATCCTGCCTTGGAGCCGGCCGAGTATGGACTGAAGCCTCCACAAACTGTGAGCTAAATAAACCTTTCCTTCTTTAATTTGGGTGTGGAGTATTTTGTCTCAGCAATGAGAGCAAATCAAGACAGGTGGGGAAAGAGGTGGAGATGGATTGCGCCCTGCAAGCCTGGAGGCCCAGAGAGGAGGTGGTGGGGTGCCCCCTGGTGGCCACTAGGGACTACAGCTGGAACCCTGACAGGAGCACAGGCTTGGGCCACAGGAAGGGAAGGGGGTCCCTGTCTCCCATGGCCTCCAGCACTGCCGTCACCAACTGGGACACCCCTAGCTCTGAGGGTCATCTGCTGCCCTGGTTGTTGCCCAAGACTCAGCTGCGTGAGGGGAGGTGACCTCACCAGAACTGGATGCAGGCACAGACAAGGGAGAGGGCAGCAGGGCACCTGCAGAGTCCTAGTGTGGGTGTGTAGGGACCCCAAGACACCTGCACGGGAAAGGGGCAGGACAGGACAGTGCGCCCCGCCCCCACCCCATGCTACCTCCCAAGGTCAAGCAGGCATCTCTCTAGCCCTGGGTCTCCTCCCCAGTGCCCCCTATCCTGTGCCTCCTCCTGGGTGTCCTCTGGGAGCTACAGGGAACATCTGGGGCACTGGGCCACCCACCTGGCCTAGAGCCCTGCTGTCACCACAAGCCAGGCTGGGGTATTGAGGATGCAGGTGGACCCATCCCAGGGTAGAGGGCAGTGCCAGGCAGGCGAGGTGGGTGCTCTCAGGTGCCAGCTGGCCAGTGCTCCCCAGCTCCCTGCACAGCCCAGCTCTGCCGCTTACAGACCTCCACGAGCCTAGCTTCCCCACCTGTGACACAGGGATCCTGCTCCACTGAGGGACTGTCATAGGGACCGTGGCTGTTGTGTATGAAGCCAGAATGGGAAGGTGAGGATGGGACCCAAAGCTAGAGGCTGCCTCTGAGGACACACCCCACCCACCTAGGGGCTTCTGGCCCTGAGTCCCCACTGTGGGTGGGCTGCACTGTCCCAGCTTTGTTCCTCCAGTGGGGAGCCAGGGGAGGGTGCAATGGCCAAGGGACCTGGGCGTAGTGTAAGTCCAGGGAACCCCCACTCCTGGACAAGTGGGGGTCTCAGGCCCCAGGCTCCCTGCAGGGCAGCTCAGGCCCCAAGGCCGGTCACACTGGCATGAGGGCAGAATGGCCTCTGACCTGCTGGATGTGGACACCATGTTAGCATGGGTGCCTGTGAGAACAGAGAGGACACTCAGCATAGCCTGGCTTGGTTCCCGGCAGGGGGGAAACTCCTCCAGACGGCTGACGACGCACTGTGGCACAGCTGTCACCGATGCGAGGACAAGAGAGGCCCGGGGGCTGGGACCGAGCCTGGGGCAGCCAGGGATGCCCCGTCTCTTCTGCTCCCGAAGGACTTACCCTGGCCAGAAGGAGCTGTGTTCTAGGAAGAGGGTCTGGCAGCTGCTGTGGCCTCCCGGGGCTCTCACTGTCTTTCCCCAGGCTACCATCTCCAAGGGCACCGAGGTCGCAAGGGCTTAGGCACCAAAAGCAGAGGAAGGCTCTGCTGCCTTGGCAACCCCTGGCTGGCCTTTCCATGTTCTCCCCAGGGAACCTCCAAAGGCAGTGCCCAGGCTGCTGGTGATACAGCCCTACGACCAGGACCACCAAGGTGGGGAAGGCCTCAGGCTGGGGTGGCCAAGAGCAGCTCTGGTCACCCACGCCCAAACCCACACACAGGCTAGTACAGGCCAGCAGCTGGGAGACGGACCCCTCATGGGAAGGAACAGGCTCAGGCTGGGCAGGGGGCAGCCACCCTTTCCCGGCGGCTGATGGGAAGCTGCCCTTCAGTGTTCTACACTGGCATGGCCACGGCCTCCCAGACAGAGAAGGAGTCGGTGTTGACAGAATACACGAGAGCGGTTGCAATCCTTAAACAGATTTATGGAAATGATTTTGAATAATAGCATTTAGAAAATAAAAATAATCTCAATACATATTTCCTCCATTATATACTCTCTCCTCCCACAGAGGCCGTCTTTGTGTACATGTGTTCTACTGCTAAACAGTAATTGGATTTCATCCTATAAAAGAAGCAATAGGTGTGTCATCTCTCTAAAAATAAAACTGCAATCGTCATTGCAATGTGAAGCCTGAGATTGAAGCCTGAGGAGGTGTCTGTGCCAGAGCCACGCGGCAGCCAGCCCGGGCCCCTGCTGCCCGAGGACACAGGGAAGGGTCATGCCGGCCAAGCAGGCCCCTAAGCCCAGGACCAGGAACCCGAGAAATGTCTGCCAAGTGTCTGGGCCTGGTGGGCGATGGTGCGGATGCCAGGGGCACGTCCACTCGCCCGGGCAACCGCTGGGTCTGCTTCCTGCATTCCCCTCCCAGAAGAAATGAGACGTGCGTTTTTAAGCAGGGTCCTGAGGTGGGCAGTGGGCACTGGGGAGTGCGGTGGGCGCTAAGCACGCAGGGAGCCACAGCACTGGGCTCCAGAGCCCCCTGCAGATTCTCTGCCACAGATGAGGCTGCACAGAGTGGCTGCTCTCCTGCCTCAGCACACACAGCAGAACAGAGCTCTGATGGACGACAGAAGAGCCCAGCCCTGCTCAGCCAGGCGCCCTGCCTGGGAAGAGCTACGAGGCCAGGCAGTCAGGGAGGCTGAGCTCTGTCCACTCCGCGTCTGGTCTGGGGTCCCTGCAGGTGGGAGCAGGGAGGCAGCTTGAAGAGCTGCAGCAGGCCTTCCTGCAGCACCGCACCGCCTTCCCGGGAGCCACGGTAGCTCCGGGAGCACTCGCCACATGTCATATGCCTGCCTTGTCGCTGTAGAAGGGTGTGACGTGGAACATGTAGCAGTGTGTGCACACACGCACGGGCTTCACCTGTCCGTAGCGGGGCAGCGGTGCTGAGTGTGAGGAGCAGCGGGAGCAGAAGATCTGGAACCAGGGCAGGCAGCAGCCAGTGGGCACAGGGTCCCGGGTTGGCCCCCCTGCAGTCCCCCACCCACACTGGCAAGGTACTGGGGGTGGGGGCTCTGCTGGCCCCAGCCCCATGGTTGGTGGAGAGGGGACCCTTGTGAACCCCCGGCAAGACTTGGCCTGGGAGTCTGGAGTCCTGAGGGGCATCCAGGCCCTGAACAGAGGCTACCACAGGCCCCTGCCCCAGCCCTCTGTCCGCGACCTGGCCCTGGCTCTGGCTGTGCAGCCAGGACTGGACACGGGCTGGAACAGGCCTGGGACTTCAAGAGGTGCTGCACAAGGACCCCGAAGGCCTCATCAGCCCCCGGGCTGCTGGTCCTGACCCCAGCCCCAGGGTCATGCCCACGGGCCCCACCCACCTTCCCACAGCTGCGGCAGTGGTGCTTCCTGCGGATGACGGTGAAGGGCGCCTTGCATGCGGTGCAGAAGCCGCAGGCCTCGTCCGGCACCCACTCGGGGGGGTCTGTCACAGGAGAGCAGGCGTCAGCCATACCCAGGTGGAGGGCAGCACCTGACTCCTCTCCCTGGGCCGCCCTGGCCGTTCAGGACTGGCAAGGGTTCCAGGAAATGAGCTGTGGTCACAGGTCTCCCTCCTCACTGCCATCCGCAGGGCTGGCAGTCATACCCTGCCGCAGGCCCAGCCAGGCCTCCTGGACTCGGGATGTGCAGTGGGGAGGGGGCTCTCCAGCTGGGTGACCCAGCCATTCACCTGAATAACTGTCAGCAGCCCCTTTCAAAGGCCTGGGCCCCACCCCAAACCGCCCTGGACTCCCTTCCCTGACAGCCATGCTGCCTGGCCCCCAGTGGACTCCTGATGAGAGCAGGGCTCAGGATCTCATGCGACCAGGTCAGACGCTGCAGCCCCCTGCACCCCGAGGGCTGCTAGAACCCCACAGGCCCTGTCATGGTCCCTGCATGCCCTGAGGCTGCCACAAGACACCTCGTGGTACAAGGGTGCTGACGGCATCTGGTGGAGGCATCCTTGACATGATGCCTCCCTGATCCCGCATCCTCCGGCACGTGCCTGCCAGGCTGAGACTCCTGGCAGAGGTCACTCAGTGATGTGGGGGCTGTGTGCCCACTGGTCCTCCTTGGGACCACATGCCAGAGGACCTCAGAGTCCTGCGTCTGCAGATGCCAGACAGGCCCCAGCCCACTGTGCCCCACGCACCTTCGAAGTCTCCGTCACGGGTCTTGGCTGCAAGCTCAGAGGACGACAGGGTCTCCTGGCACAGTGCACAGTCCTCCAAGGCTGCACTCCGAAGGCTCTGGGTGACTGGAAGAGAAGGAGGCCGCTGGGGCTGGGGCCATGCAGTGGATGCTGTCCGTTGTCCCTTGTGGGCTGCCTGGGCACTCCCAGGCCCAGTGAGTGTCTCACAGTGCGTGCCACGTGCCAGGGCCACCTTAGCAGACAGGGCACTGGCCTTGGCAGGGTCTGCCTCCCAAGGCCCCTCTCCGCTCAGCAAGGCGGCCCCCGAGGCCATGCTGTCTCCTCCCCACTGGCATCCAGTCCTGGGCCCCTTGCCAGGGAGTGGTCAGATCCCCCAGACAGACAGGGACTCTGTGGGCCCTGTCCAGCGTGGCCCAAGCAGCCCGCAGGCATGGTGCGCACGGCCGGTCCTTGTCATAGCTCTTCTCAATCCTGCCTTCAAGGAGGCTGCCAACCCAGATTCCTGGGCAGGAGGGGGCCTGGCCGCGCGGCTCCTGGCAGAGCTGGGTTGGATTCAAGCTCTTCCTCACCAGAAAGAAGGTCCCTGCAGGGCAAGGCTGCAGGACGGGGGCTCTAGGGCCAGTCACAACGATCTGTGTACCCAGACAGCCCATAAGCAAAGGCCCCACTGTGAGGGTAGCTTCCCCAGAACAGGGGCTTCTGCCCAGCACAGGGGCAGAAAACAGGGATCTGGTGACAGAGGGCCAAATGCTCTACGCCCCAGCACTCCCTGCTTGACACCTCTCTCTCTCAACAGGTACTTGGTATGTGTGTGCATGTCTGTGAGTACATGCAAGGGTGGGTGTGTGTGCCTATGTGTGCACAGGAAAGCACACATGCACCTCTGGCGTGAGAGATATGTACATGTAGGGAGATCAAAGCCAGGGCAGCCTCTGCCACTCCCTGTGGGGAGGTGGCCCATGTCCCCTCCGCTGGTGCCTCTGAATGTTTTGACAGATGGGAGGGAGGGACTCATGACATCTGGTCCTGCCTTTGAGAGGGAGGCGAGGTTCCCAGCCTCTGTGTGTAGCAGGAAGCGGGGCCCTTGCTGCACCATCCCTGGTCCCTACACACCGGGTCACATAAAGCCTGGACACATGGCTGCCTCAGAGCGGCAGGTGCAGCTCTACGTGCACCCCCACCCCGGGGGCAGACAGCCTGGTTGGCAGGCCCACAGAGCCTGTCCCGGCACTCACCCTTCTTCAGCTTCTCATTGTCATCTGTTTCTGGCTTTGTGGCCATGACTTCAAACAGCGTTTTGAGAATACTCCTCAGGTCACTTGCATAGTTCGTCTGCAGCTGGTCGGCCACCCCTGGGGGAGAGGACCATGTGGGAGGGACAGAGGACAGAGGGAAGAGGGAAGGGGAGTGCCCCAGCCCTAGGAGGGAGGCTGCACTTCCTGCAGTGTGTCACAGGCCACGGATGAGCACAGCCACCACCATGAAGCTGCCCTGCCCACCACCAACAGGCACCTGCAGAGCCCCGCAGTGCCCAGCTGAATGGCATCATGATCACCATCACATGGACTCAGGCATTAGCACAGCCCCTGGAACCCCACAACACACCATCCCAAAAAACTGGCTGCAGGGCCTCAGCACAGACGCCATGTGGCAGAAGCCAGGGAGGAGCTGGGGGCTGCAGCTGCTGTGCCCACCCAGCTGTCACCCCAGCTCCCCCCACCAAAAAAAAGCCCCACCCCACCTGCAGAGCTCCTTCCTCCTCCTTCCCATGGAGCCGATCTGGCCCTTTCTGCAGAGAAGCCCTTGCTCCGCATGGGGGAGACTGCCGCCTTCCAGCAAGGCCAGGAGGCAGTGCCAGCCCACTGGCCTCAGGAGCCCTGTGCTGCACCCCATGCGTCCTCAAGCCTGTGTGTGTCCTGGGCCCAGACATCATACCTGAGATGCAGACAAACAGCCGGTGGATCAGGTCGTGGCTGCCGTGGAACCTGGACCGGATCTTCTCTCTCGTGGCCATGGGGGTGACAGGCGTGGCTGCAGGGGCCACCTCTGGCCCAGTCTTGTCTATGACGCAGGAAACCAACATGGAGCCGCTGCAGAGAAGGAGATGGCGGTGTGGGGTGTGGAGCGTGAGGTGAAAACCTGTCATGTGCGGCCCCCGCTCCAAGGAGCCCAGGCACCCAGCAGCCACTTCCTGTAACTTGCCTTTAATGAGCCATCAATGTAACCTATGTGCCCCACTTAAAAAGCCGGGTGGTTCAGCAGGGATCTGACCCAGTGCCTGCCCTGCCTGGGCCTCCTGTGGTCGCTGCGGCAACCCCCAAGCCCTCGGCGGGCTCGAACTTAGACTGCACTGTCCTGCAGCCACGACTCACTTCCGCCTATGGAAGCACTACCTCACCTCTCATGAACCTTTGAGGGGCAGAAAGATGACCCCCCAAAAAATGTGTCCACACCCTGGCCCTGGAGCCTGGGAATGGGGGCCTATTTGGAACGAGCATCTCTGCAAGTGTGATTCAGCAAAGGGCCTTGAGATGAGAATATCCTGGGCTGTTCTGCAGGCCCTAAACCCAGTGACAAGTGTCCTTATAAGACACCAACGAGGAGGCAGACACCCGAATGGGAGGAGGGGGCCACAAGACCACAGGGTCAGAGCCTGGGGTGACACAGCTGCAAGCCAAAGGCCACCACAGTCACCAGTGCAAGAAGAGGCAGGAGGACATGCCTGCAGCCTCCAGGGGGACAGCGGGTTGGACTCCTGGCCTCCAGGCCCTGAAAAGAAATCTCTGTGGACTCCAGCAGCCACAGGACACTCTGCAGGGTGCTTCGGGTCTTCCCAGCAGCCTGGGTTTGTCAGGTTTGCTCTTTGGGGTCCACTGTACTTGCTTAAAGGACGTTCGTGGCTGAGCCTCAAACCCTAAATAGTTTGTCTCCTACTATCTACCTCCTGGTGGTCTCTCTGTCCTACGTTCTGGGAAGCTTCTTCAGCTTTTTCTTCTACTTTTTACCCGTGACGCTTTAATTTCTGCTCTCTGCTTTCTTATTTCCTACCCCTATTGTTTCTTGGATGTAGAATCTTTTGTCTATCTAGAAATAGTCACTACAATATTTGCAAGTTGCTATCTGAAGCTGGCACCGTCTGTTTTCCCTCCTGGGGGCCTGGCTGGTCTGTGTGGTCTGTCCCCCATGCCGGCGGCTGGCCACACATGCAGGGCACCGGGCCATCTGCTTTAAGAGGAAGGCCCTAAGAGGCTGTCTGCACCCAGGGAAACAGGACCAGTCACTGTGCTGACGGGAGTATAATGTACGGGGCCACTCTGGAAAAGCAATCTGGCGCCTCAGTGAACCTGGACCTGTGTGAGCTGCACACTGAACCCTGGTCCTCGTGCGGCCAAAGACACAGGAGGATCTCTGAGGCCACCCGGTTCCGGAGAACTAGAAAGCAGCTCACGCCTGGAGTGACGCATGGAGACCTGACGCGGCCTGAGCACCCAGGGGACACTGTGAGCCCTGGACACGCAGCCGCGCGACCCACAGAACTGCCCCATGTCGCTTGTCCTCGTGCTCCACAGCCACCCAGGAGCACTGGGGGCCACACTGGTGCAGGGCAGGGGTGTGGCCGGAAGAGGCCCCGGAGCCCCTGAGGTTCTCCCCTAGTGGGTGCCTGGGCCTGCACTTGCACTCACACCAAGGGATCAACATTTGCTGGACACAGAGAAGCACAGGAGGCTGGGAGCGGCGGCGTGTGCGGGGCCGTGGGCCCCAGGGAAGGACTGCAGCCCCTGACCCGGAGCCGGGGTGGGGGCCCCGCTGACCCTTGGCAGGGCTAAGGAAGAGGCTGGCAGCTCCTGTGTAGCCCTGCAGTCGCAGCAGCCAGCCTCCCCCAAGGGCACCAGAGGGTCACAGAGACCAGAGATGCTCAGGGCAGCGCTGTTCAGCCAGGAGATGGGTACAACCACGTGTGTCCAGCGGGAAGGCGCAGGTAATGGAACGTGCTGCCTGTGTGCAGACTACCACTCAGCCTCCAAAAGGAAGGGCACCCTAAAGTCCGAGGGCACGCCCTGAGAACGGCCGGGTGAAGCCAGCGGACGCGCAGGACGAGCCCCGCAGGATGCTGGTGACACGGGGACCCTGGAGCAGGCGGTCACAGAGCCCGCAGGGGAGGGGGCAGTGTCAGTCCAGGAAGGTGACAGCCTTCTGGGCGAGGGTGGCGGCGGTGCCTGCACAGCAGTGGAATGTACTGTCTAGTGCTGCTGAACCGCACGCTCACGGTGGCTAAAATGGTGAATTTTCTGGATATACCTGAGACCAAAATTTTGTTTAAATGAAAAAACAAACTAACAAAAAAACAAGGAGGGCAGAGGCGAGCAGAGGCAGAGGCGGCGAGGAGGTCGGAGGCTCGGGTCTGCGTATGCAGCCTGCGGGGGTGTGCGTGCTGAGGCAGGCTTCGCGGTGCTTACGCGGTCAGTAAAGAAAGCTTAAAAATCACCTGTATTTCGATGTGACAGCAATAAACTGAAAAGCTGAGAATGGAATTAAGAAAACGGCCCCACTTACCACCGCATCGCAAAGATTAAGACATTTGGGGTAAACTTAAGGAAGGAATGTCGAGAGCGACACACAGAAACTGGAAAACGTGGACAGAAACACAAGGGCTGTGCAGGTGGACGGGAACGGCATGGAGAAGTAGCGGCCCCGGAGCCTGGGCTGGTGACGCGGGCGGGGACAGACGAGGTGGGCCAGCTCCCTAAAGGATCCTCCTCAGACATGATTGCTGCAGTGTCTGAGGGGCACCACGAGACCCGGAGCCAGCGTGGAAGTGAGGGGCTGAGTACCCACGTGCTGGCCCCGGCACAGAGAGGACACAGATACCTGAGGTGGGCACAGCGCTGACGGGGAGACGTCAGCCCAGAAACCACACAGGGTGAGGCAGCCTCCCCCATGACTCGGGCTGGCTGGCAGCGAGAAGAGAGGGAATGTGGGACAGGCACCGCAGGGCCCGGGCAGCCTGCAGAGCGGACGTGGTGGCAGCACGTGACCAATGAGATGAAGAGGCGAGCAGAGGCCTCGGGCAGGTGGGCATGGCCTGGCCCAGGGCCCAGACAGGGAAGCCTTTGGCCCAGTCACACTTGGCCCCCAACACCTCACAGGACACCTCCAGGGCTGAGTCCGCCACCCAGAGCAAGGTCTGGCTGCTTCTGTGTATGTCCAGGGCTGGGAAGGGGTCACCCTGTTAGAGTTCACATCCAGATGTCCTCCAAATGCCTCTCGTCCAGAGGCGGGGCCTCTGGAGGGCGATGGGTCGTGGGGTGCTATGCATGTTGGTGGATCCACCCACGGATGAGCTCAGGGCTGACTGTGCTGTAGGAGGTGAGGTCTGGTTGGAGGGGTCACTGGGGTGTGGCCTGGAAGGGTGCATTCTTGTCCCCTGCTCCTCCCTTCTCTCTGCTTCCTAGCTGCCATAGGTTGAGCCTAAGAGACACTCCTCCAGACACTGGCTTTGGAACTACCTGCCGAAGTCACAGCTGTCTCCAAGAGCACAGTTAGGATCAGCAGCAGGGGACGGCTTCTCCTAGACAGGCACCCCGGGAGATCTAGCAGGGAGGTGTGTGTGTGTTGAGATCCCAGCCCCAAGACCTCAGAAGGTGGCCTTTTGGTCACAGGGCCCTGAGAGATGTCATTAGTTCAGATGAGGTCACACTGGGGCAGGGTGGCCCTGATCCAACAATAAGACTGGTGTCCTTATAAAAAGAGAACCTTGGTCACAGACACACACGCAAGGAGAGGGCTGAGTGAAGATGGAGCTCAGGCGTAGCCCGAGCCAAGAACAACCAGGACAGCAGGTGCCACCAGGAGCTGGGGGTACAGGGCCTCCCTTGCAGCCTCAGAAGGGACCAGCTCTCCACACCCAATCTCAGGCGCTCCCAGATCATGACCGGGCACGATCGGTTCTCTTTGCAGCAGTCACCTGCTTTGTGGAGCTCTGTGACGCAACATATTGCCTATGCCATGCTGGAGGGCCTCGCACTGCTGTCTGCCCAACAGGTCCGTTTCTTCTGAAGAGAGTGCACCTCCCTGCTCCTTCCCTGCAGCCACTTGCAGTCAGTGGAGTCAACGCTCAGCCGTGTTCCTAGGAAGTCAAGTCTTCTCACACTAGCTCCTAATGCCAGCTCTGGGTCCCATGGGAATGCATGCAGGACAGGGACGGCAGCGGGGACAAGTTCTGCTCCTATCCAAATGACAACAGGGGGACTGGGCTGGGACCTGGAGAGCAAGTGCTGATCCATGAACCACTGAACCCTGAGGGCAGGATGCCCAGGCAGGTCTCCCAGTGGTACAGCTCCCTGACCCGAGGCTGGCAGATGCCCAATGCCCACCACCACCATCCCATTGTCCTCCATAGACTAGCTCGGGACCTGAGGGTCACATTCTCTTGGAGTGTCCTCCAGAGTCCATGTGCCTCTGTCCTCAGGTTGGCAGGCACAGGCCTGGAGGTCCTTCCCGACACTCCGGCACCGTCACTGCTCCCCATGTCATCTGGTGTAGCTGTGGGACCAGGGTCGCCCTGGAGCACAGAAGTCAGGCTGAGGGTGGGCTGTGCAAGTCTCCTCCCCTCTGCTGCCTGCTGCCCTGGCCTGTGCCAGCAAGACCTGACGGCTGTCAGAGACCTGCTCTGTAGGACACCCCTGGAGCCCACAGGTCTTCAGGATCTGTTCCTCCTATCAGAAACACCTTTGCTGACCACTGGTCACAGACCCCATGCCCCACCCGGCTCTCCTCCTAGGCACCCTTGCATGACTGCTGCCCAGACGCTGATCTCCCTGCTGTTAGGATCAGACCAGCTCTGTCAACTCCACTCCTGCCGTGGCCCTGCACGAGTGGCCCCCAAGGCACAGCTGCTGAGCACCGACTGGCAGGTGGTGGGGACCACGCACATGCTCTCCTCTCTGTGGGATCCCCGCTCCCCGCAGTGCTCTATGCAAACGTGGTCAGGGAAGGACAGCAACCACAGAGCCCACAGGACTCACACACCCTGAGCACGGGGGCTCTTCTCAGGAAGACAGAGCCTGTGGTGGCCCTTCCGAGGAGGAGGGGACAGCAGAGTGGTTACAAGCACAGGGCTCAGATACTGCCATGGCTGAACAGTGCCACCCAAAACAGAATGCCATACCAAATCCCCAGAACCTGGAAGTGACCTTTGGAGAAAAGGTCTTTTTGTGTTAAGTGGAAGATTCTGAGCGAAGTCCATGCTGACCCTGGACGGCATGAGTGGGCCCTAAGACAGTGAGGGTCCTCCTGAGAGGCAGAAGAGACACACACGCCCCGGGCAGCGGAGGCGCAGGGAGAGGCAGGCCGGGCCCTCCCTAGTGGTGGAATCTAACCCAAGCCCCAGTCTCTCTCCCAGCGTGCACAGCTCTGCGACAGACCAGCAAGCTCCCACCTGCCCTGCACAGCCTGGGGTGGACACCTCCATGCCTGGAAACAGAGCAAGTGCAGGCGGCCTGGGGGTCCAGACTGCAGGGAGGGGGGAAATCGCTCATCCTGATAAAGCACTCAGAAGCAACAGTCACACCTAACATGTAATCACGGCTTGAATCATTTAAGAGTGTAAGCCGGTTTAAACATCCAGGAAAGTGCTTTGCAAAGAGCATTCACCTGCTGTTTGTTGCACAGATTCGGCACTGAGCACACAGTGGTGAGCACGACTCGTGCTTTTAGTGGAGGCTGTGAGCACCTCACGCTGGAGGACAGCCGCAGCAGAGAACAGGAGGGAAAGCCCCGGACTGTGAGGAGGACAGCCCCTGCCTGCTGCTGTGCCCCGTGCCTTTGGTGACATTCGGCGAGCTACTCCCCATGCACTCCCCCGTGCCAGCCCAGAGCCTCTCTCCACCCCAGGGTCCCTGGGAGGTGGGGGCCCCAACCGTGGGGGTGGCTAGAGAGGAGGGGACTCCCCCTGAAACTCCCCTGTGGAGTGTGAGTGGGTGTGTGAATGTCTGTGCACATGTGAGTGCGATGTGTGACATGGGAGTGTGAGCGGTGTGTGCACATTCTTATGACTGTGAATGTGCGTGAATGTGGCCAGCACACCTGTGAGCACGTGTGAGCATGTAAATGTACGTGTGTGCACATAAGCCCGAGTGCTAGTGTGTGCGCGGGCACTCACGTGAGCGCACACTCGGAACCTCCCCCCGGCCCCTCGGGTCCAACTGTCGCGGCTTTGGGGCTTGTGCTGCCCCTTGGAAGTCACTTGGAGGCCATGCTCCCATGCGAGGCCATGGAGGAGCTGGACTCCCCTGCAGTCGTCCACTGTACACAGCTGTGTCCCATGCTGGCGTTTAGAGCACCAGCCCCTCACCCACATGCTCGCCAGTTACCACACCGCTGCCCCCTGCTCGGAGGAGGATCCGGCGCCACTGCAGCTGATGGACTCAGGCTCCCCAGCCGCCTCTCCCCCTCCGCTCCTGGAGTGCACCTTGGCCCTCGTGGGGCCTGCTACCTACAGCATGGCTGCCCAGCCCCCTCTGTCACTCAGGCCTCAGCAAGTGTCACCACCCACCCCCCAGGGGCCGCAGCTGATTGCTCTCCAGGAGGGAACTGCTGTGCTGGTAGAATCCACCTGAGGGATCAAGGGACCAACTCTCTCCCCCTTTCCCTCCCTCCTTCCTTTTGCTAGGGGGATTAAATCCAGGCCTCGAACTGAGCTCTTTCTATTTTGTGTTTTGTGATAGCATCTTGCTAAGTGGCTAAGTTACACAGGCGGGGCTGGAACTTGTGATTCTCCTGCCTTAGCCTCCAGCACTGCTAGGATTACAGGCGTGCACCGCCATGCCTGGCTACCGCTTCTAATTTCTGACTGGTTCTCTTCGTGCGTCACCAACTCCTGTCCACCTGCTAGCCAGGTGCCCCAGCTCAGCGGATGGCCTGGGTGGAGCCTTGTCTGAGCGCCACTGCTCCGCCCTGGCCTCATCCCTGTGGGGTGCTCAACTTCCCTTCTAATGCTCATCCTCATTTCTAATGTCTTCCTGGCCCTGGCGAGAGGATGCAAGGGCACAGGGAGGAGCAGGTAGGGACGACGCAGAGACCCAGCCACCCTCCCCACCAGCTGTGCGCGGTCTCCTTGCCCTGTGTGGTGCCCTGAAGCTATCCTCGTGGAACACTTCATGGCAGGCATCCTGTCTCAGCTTTCTCAGGAGTCTGATTAAGCCCAATCCTCCTCTATTTTAAACACTCCATCACTCCTGCTTTTCCTTCTGAGTGTGCTACAGGTGGGAGGCCTTGGTGTCTTCCCAAGGTCCCACCAGAGCCAGGCTGGGCTGCCCAAGTCCCTGTGAGCCCTTCCACCTGGAAACCCAGGGGAGCTGAGTGTGCTGCCGTGCTGCCTCGCTGCTCCCGGGTCAGGATGCAGGGCTCACCCCAGAGGACCCACAGCAGCCCCACCTGCAGCCCCAGAAGATGTGGAAAGGAGATGAGCACCCCACAGGGCTGAGGCCAGGGCAGAGTGGTGGTGCTCAGATAAGGCCTGACCCAGGCCATCTGCTAGGCCGGGGCACCTGGCCAGCAGCCCTAGACCCGCCCGTGGACAGGAGTTGGTGGCACATGAAGAGAACCAGTCAGAAGTGAGCTGGGGACAGGAGGCTCCTTTCCTGCCGTGGGGCCACACCCAGCCTCCCCTGGCTGGCCACGGGTCATAGGTGTGCTGGAAGGGTGGGTGGGACCCGTGGGGCAGAGGGTACTTCTCTACAGCCACCAGCACCAGGTGCTCCTGAGCCGGGGCCAGCAATGCACCAGGGCCACGGAACTCAGGTGGGAGTGAGGGCCTCACATCCACATTAACGTGGCCCCTGCCTGGCGGTCACCTAGCCGCTGGCCTGGGGAGCTGAGATGCGTTCAGGAGGCAGAGAAGTGGGTTGCAAAATTGGGACCAGTGACAGCAAAGACTGCCGGGCAGCTGGGAGGAGCAACACAAAGAGGGCGGAGCAGGACGGTGGCAGGCGGGGCAGTGAGAGTTGCAGGGAGGAGCTGGGGAGGAGCTGGGGTGGAGCTGGAGGACCTGTAGAGCTCTCCCTGCGCCGCTGCTTCCTCCTCCAGACGCCAGCGAGCAGAGGACTCGCACCGGCCGTGCAGCCCGGCCCACCTGTGCACAGGCCAGGAGAGCACCCTCAAGTGATTCTGCGGGCCCCTGGCAGCTGCTCCCAAGGAGATGCCCCAGGGTCAGCTGTCTGCACCTCCTCGGGGCTCCAGCACAGAAGAGCACACATGGGGCACTAGGCCAGAGGCCAAGGACAGCCCTGCAGGATTCCCAGCATTCCAGTGAAAGTGACAGCCGGGAGGCCCACTGAGGCAGGGAGGGGCCCGAGGGGGTTTCACCAGCTGGACTCTTGGACCTGGGCTCAGAGCAGGTGGGTCACAGGTAGGACAGGTAGTGACGGCTGCCAGGACCTCCAAGCTGGGAGGGGTGTGCAGGGGTGGCCGTCCACCTGGCAGTTGCGAGTTTACACTCAGAGCTACCCTGGAAGGCTGGACCTGGGTCCTACAGACCCCGCCCCACCCTGTCAGCACGGGGCCTCCTGCCTGTAGGAAAGGAGGGCAGGGCCCACAGCGAAGCGGGGGAAGGACACTGGCCCTGGAAACACTGTTGAGAACTTGCCCATGATCCCACCACGGCCACTGCTAGGGGCTGCCCCCTCTCCTCAGACCCACATGACCCAGGAGCCATGGTGGTCAGCACGGACAAGCGGGCAGCGCACTCAGCCCCAGCCCACAGCAACCGGCGAGGCATGAGGGCCCCACTGCCCACTGCCACCCAGCCCACCCACACGTAAGTGGGACTTGGCATAGTGCCCACGTCACCTCAAAAGGGCGGCTGGCCCCTGGGGGTCACTTCTCGGCTACTGATTCCTGCAAGGCCAGCCGTCCCCAGCGCCTCACACACCGCACACTGGGCCCCGTCAGCCAGTAACTGCTCGATTTCATTTCAGAGCATGCAGACCCCGAGCACGAAGCGAGGAGTCAGGTCCCCGATGCACAGCCAACCTTACCTGGGGCCCAGTGGCAGCAGTGGCACATCCTGGACGGCATCTCTCTGTGGGCTGTCACCACTGCTGGCTGCGCTGGGCCTCCTGAGGTCTGGCTCCTGGGCCTCGGGCTCCTCCTGCTGGCGGGGGCCCTCACCCTCTCCCTGGGTCCCGTCTGCTGCGTCCCCCGGGGGTCCTGAGGTGGATGGCAGGCACTTGCTGGACGAAAAGGCATCGTCTGTGGGCAGGGCAGCCTCGGCCTTGTCTTCAGCCTTGGCCAAACCCGCAGCAGGGTGGGAGACACTGACAACGCCTCCCGGGCTGCACTTCTCCCGCAGGCGCTCCGCGGCGTCCTCCCTGCCGTCCCCGCAGCTCCCGCAGCACACGCAGGAGTGCAGCAGGCAGTTGGTGGCTGCGGTGCTGAGTTTGTGGGAGCCCTGCCCCGGCCCCTCGGCCCCAGGTTCTGGAGGGGAAACGCTGAGGCCTGGGGAGTCTTGGGAGGCCACAGAAGAGTCTGGGGAGGAGGGTGACTTGGGGTTGAAGATGACGGTGGCCGAGAGCTTCATGCCCCCTGTCCGGTGGGCAATCAACTCGGCAGTCTCCGCATCCTCCGCGCTCACCTCCCAGCCATCCAGGTACAGCTGCGAGTCCAGGCAGCTGCAAGTGGATCCCAGGGCTCCAGCCGCCCGCACCTGGCCATCCTCCGTGTTGTTGTTGCTCCGGTCCTCCTCCTTCGCCCTGGCGGCCGCAACCTGCACCTCGCTGTGCTGCCCACCCTGCCCTCTTTCCTGGGCACTGCCTTCCCAGGCAAATGGGCCGCCCAGGGGCTCAGACTTAGCAGGTGTCTCTGCCGCCACCTCCACATCCTCCATGAAGAACACCCGTTCCTCCTCATCACCGCCCGACTTCAGCCGCGCTCTGCCTGGGGAGGGCTCCCCGCGGGGGCTGCCCTCGGCCTCCCGTCTGTGCGCAGGGGACTGGCAGGCACTGGGCGGTGAGAGTAGAGACGACATCTCGTCCCCAGCCCTGTGCACCATGCGGCTGAGCTCCTCCAACTCCTGGTCATCGTACTGCATGGAGCAGGCCAGCTCCGCCTCCGGATCTGTGGGCTTGGTGGACAGCGGCTCCTTGGGGGGCAGTGGCGTGGGAAAGGCGGGTGCCAGGGCAGAGGGCACCTGGGCATCAGTGTGGATGGGCAGCTCCACCTCCTGGGAGACACAGAGGCTCCGCTCTAGCGTGTGCAGCTCCTCCTCGGTCAGCGCCTGCAGCAGATCCCTAAGGATCAAGACCAAAACAAGTGTGAGCATCCCCAAGGCCACCCTGGCCTCTTCGGACAGGAGTGGATGCAGCCCCTGAAGTCTGCATCGCAGAAAAGCAACCAGGCAACCAGTGCTTGCACTAAACTCACACAGCGCCATGACCTGCCTTCCACTACGAAGCAAGGTTCTGTCTCCAGGCTGCTCCATGCTACACAGGAGCGGGGCTGCCAGTGACTCTGGGATGGTTTCTTTCTTGAAAGTGAGATTCTGGAACCTCTTCCTGGAAACGAGAGTCCTGATTCTCGGGAATGTGTTGTATTAATAAAAACTTTCAAGAGTGAAAGAATATGTGTCAGCTTGAGTATGGGTTTTCATCCTCTGCTCTGGGCACTGGCGCTGACAGTCCGTGGTAAGACAAACATCTGTACATGTAACGACCGCCCTTTGAGGACAATGGCAGCAAAGAGAGATGCAGGGCCCAGGGAGGGGACAACAGGGCACCTGGCTTGGCCTGAGAAGGCTCCCAAGAGGAAAGCGCTGCAGCTGACACTTGAAAGTGCCCTTAGGGCCAGGGGGCTCAGCGGCTTAAGTGCTTGTCTGGCAAGTCTGAGGTCATGAGTTCGATTCCTGGTACCAAAAAAAAAGAAAGAAAGTGCCCTTAATGTGGTGACAACCAGGGTGAGCCCAAGCAGGCCTGACAGGCCGGCCACGAGCTACTGTGCTGGGAGAAGCGCAGGTGGCCCTCAGCATAGCGAGGAAAGCACACTCCTCAGAGCAGCGCTGCTCGCTGGCCCTGCACGACCCAGACATGCCTGTGCAGATGCTGTACAGACCAATAACAAACATGAACCGCAGGGCCAGGGACAGGGCTCAGTGGCACAGCACCTACCCGGCAAGTGCTAGGTCATGGGTTCAATCCCCAGTACATAAAAAAAATCCCTGAAATACGAACCAGAACCCCAGGCACCCGCACGTGTATTTCCAGTTCATCCCCAGCACTGCCACCACCTTGATGGCACAGGCAGAGGCAGCCTTGCCTGCCCTCATGTTCTGGGGAAACGGAAATCCCAGTCTACCCTGCTGTGGCGGGCTTTGTCGGCTGACATTACGTGTATCGATCACTGGATCAAATACAGGACACCCAGTGAAATCTCAACTTCTGATAAACAACAAATACTTTTAAGTCTAGGTGTGAAGGGTACGTAGGCCCCAGAGGTCCCCCCTTTGGGATGTGCTTACACAACAAAAAGTACTCATCGCTCATCAAAAATCTGACTTTCCCGGGGCCCCCTACCATGGCTGTACAGATCTGGCAACCTGTGAAGAAGGGTTCAACCGCAGGGAGGCACGTGGCCATAGGATGCTTGTTCTCGGGGCTGCAGGTCTGCTATAACACACCACGGTGCATTCGTGTCCTTGTCTGCCCTCATCCGGCCTCCTGTCCCCAGTGTCTGCAGAAGATGCAGGTGCGTTCCCCCAGGAGGCCACAGAGGGGCACTGCTGCCCCGCAGGGTGTTGGTGGCAGTGTGGACTCCCTGCCAGTTCTGTCCACTTGTGACCCGAATCAACGCTGGGTTTGATTTCTTATTAACTTTTTTTTAATTATTATATGTTTGTGATACATCGTGAGTACATCCATCCTGGGGTATCGGTACACGGACACACTGCATCTTGTCCCTCTTTCCTCTTCTCCTCCCCTCCCATCACGCTTTCAATCATACCACCCTCTCTAGAGGGCACACAATGGTCTCTTCTCGTGGCCTTTGTTGCTGTGGCCTGGTGACTAGCAAGGTAGGTAACTGCTGTCCAGCCCTGAGCTAATGGCCGTGTGCAGCGTCTCCACCAGTCTTCTGCCCTTCCTCATTGGCTCGTCCTTTTCTTCTTGATACGTAGCAGCGCCTTGCATAGTTGGTTTGAGTTCTCAGTCGACAGCCTCCCACTCTGTAGCTTGCCTTTTCACTCTCTCAATGCTTTCTTTTCATAAACTGAAGTTTTAAATACTAACGAAGTCTAATATATCACATTTTCCCCCTTACATTGGTGCTTTTACGCCTAAGAAATATTTGCCTAGTCCAGGGTCACAAAGATACTCTCCTTGGATTTCTTCTCCAAAAGTTATATTGTTTTATTTTTCACTTTGATTTCTGCAGTCTCTCTGGAATTGATTTTGTCTGTGATTGTGGTCAGGATTCAGACACCAAGAGAGATCTGTAAGTGATACTGTCTTCTCATGTGGAGACCCACTGGCTCAGCCCATTTATTAGGAAAAAGCAAACATTCCCCCCACAGTCCTGCAGTGCCATACTGTCTTAGATCAGGAAGCTGGATGTTACTGGTCTGTTTCTAAACTTTCTATTCTGTTGGTATTTTATTTATAGGAAGGCTTTTAAATAATTGATTCAATGTGCTTAATACACACTGGACTACAGAGATGCTCCCTTTCTTGGCAGCTTTGATTAAATTCTTGAGGAATTTGTCCCATTGAATTTACTGATATAGATTTGTTCCCCAGTATCCTCTTCTGTCACATCCATGTCTGTAAGATCTGTAGTGATGTCTCTGTCCAGTTTTATCAATGGTGAGTTACGTTTTCTCTCCTCACCCTTGATTAGTCTTGCTATGGGATTATCATTTCTATTCCTCTTTTCAAAGACAAACTTTTGGCTTTATTCATTTTTCTGTATGGTATATTTGTTTTCTAATTTATTGATATCTGTTTTTATTTTTATTATTTCTTTTCTGTTGCTTTCTTGGGGTATGATAAACTAATATTATTTTCTCAGGTGAAATTTTAAATAATTTTCACCATTTCTTTTGTTCCAATTTATAGCATTTTAAAATTTTAAAAATTGTTAAATTCTTTTCTAATTTATAGCATTTAATGCTGTCCATACTCATTCATAATAATCATATCATAGCTGTAGCTTCTTGCATTGTATTTCGCTTTTCCAGAAGTCTGTGGTCCTTCTCTTTCCTGAAGAACTCCATTTAGTTTTTCTTTATGTCCAGCCTGCTGATAACAAAGTCATTCAGCTTTGTGTTTTGTAATAATTCATTATTTCATCTTCATTTCTGAAGGTTATTCTTGCTTGTTATAAAATTCTGGTTTGCACCCACTTTCTCTCAGCATTTTGAATACATTGTGCATAGAACCTCAGGACATGCTGGCTTCCATCATTCTGACTTTTGTTTTGAGATGATAACTGTCTACCTTACGTTCCTTTCACAGTAGTGTAGCCCCTTCTCTCTTGCTGCTTTTAACATGTCTTCTTTGTTTTTGGCAACTTCACTATGACATAGCAGGGTATTACTCTGTTTGTCTTGGTCATAGTTTTTTTGAGCAGCCTGAGTCTGTGAGTAGATTTCTCTACAGTTTTGGAAGATTCTTGCCATTATTTCTTTGGCCACTGCTTCTGCCCACTCTCCCGCTCCTTCTGGGACGCCAGCCAAGTGTTAGGCTCCTCGGTGTGCTGCATACATCTCGTAAGGCGCACTCTGCTGCCATTGCTCGCTTGCTTGTTCTCCCCCTGCTTAGTCTGTGTCCCCTCCACTGACGTTCCTCTGAGTTACTACTTCTGTGTTCTGCTGGGTCCACTCTGCTAACAAATCCATTCACTGTGTCTTAATTTTCAGGCTGTGAATTTTTTTGGCTCTAGAATGTTATTCGTTTCTTTTTTTATACATTCTAGCTCTCTAAATTCTCCATCTTACCATCTAATTTTCTCTTCTACTTTCTTTAGTATGTTAATCACAACTGTGTTCAAGTTATGTTCAAGTATTTATGTGTTAATTCTAATATCTGAATCTTCTGAAGTCTGCGTTAGCCATCCATCATTTTGCCTTGCTTCCTTATATTTTTAGCAATTTTGGACTATGTGATGGACACTGGGTATAGCAGAGTCACAGAGGTGACAGACAAGGGACTCCCCTCTGTTAGGCAGGAGGTGTGACAGTCATTCAGAGATCACGTGTTTCATTCAGAGATCACGCAGGTTGGGGCTGAGCAGCAGCTACTGTCTGGCTACTGCTGCTCTGAGCCTGGTGTGTCTCTGTCTTCCCAGACCCCACAGCCCCTGGGAGATCCAACTCTGCCTTTCTGGTCCAGCTCAGCCTCTAACCTCCTGTCACACCCAGCTCCGGAATCTGGCAACTGTCCCCAGGGGAGTCGGGCAGTGTGCCCTAAGGAGGCCTTCATTGCCTCACGTCTGCGGACTGCGGCAGCCTCTGCCAGACTCCTCGCCTCCCTCGACCTGACTGTCTCTCCCCACAGAGACTTTGCCTGTGGAGTCCAAGCCCTGGACAAGCAGACACCCAGAACCGTCAAATGCTTCTTGGGGAAAAAAAGTGCCAAGTGAGACAGGGAGCTCACTTCCTCTCAGAAAGGCCCCCCTCCCCTGATCCTCACTTCCATAGCTTAGTGAACTTTACCAATTCGGCTTTTCAGACCTATCCAGCTTTTCCAGTCTTCGCACCTGGAGAATCAGCCTGCCCTAACCTGAGGCAAACTGTCTGCCCCAAGGCAAAGCCTTGCAGCACTTTTAGAAAAGACATGCAGACGGCTGGTCATGTCTGCCTGTATTCAACAACACTCACTTAATAAATATTCATTCACAAAAACTTATTCACCAATTATTTTTTGATGGATGGCAAGTTCATTTTTTAATACTGTTTAGATATTTCCTTCTGGTTTTTCTCTCCCAGGGAAGGCACAGGACCCCGAGATGAAGGCTTCAGTGTCTAAAGCTGTTTAAAGCCATCAGACCACGCAGACACAGTGACGGGTGGGTCCTCAGATGCTGTCCCTGGGTAGCCAAGGCCACTTGTGGATGCCTGCTATGTCCACGCGTGAGAAGTAACAAGTAACACAGGTAACAACACAAGTAACAGCTCGTAGAGGCGGCAGGCAGGGTTGCACACCTGGTCATGGCCATCCCACCCACGATGGCAGCTGACAAGTCAGGGCCCCAGGGGGATGTAAGGTCTTAGGGTCTACACTGGCTACTGTGGATAATACATCAGGATGGATGCTTAATGGTACCCAGGATATTCTGTTTGTTTGTTTGTAGCACTGGAGATCAAACCCAGGGCCTGCACGCTAGGCAAGTGTTCTACCACTGAGCTATATCCCCAGTCCTTTCTATTGTTTATTTTGAGACAAGGTCTTGCTAAGTTGCCCAAGCTGGCCTTGAACTTGTGAGCCTCATACCTCGGCCTCCTGAGGAGCTGGGATACCGGCATGTGCCACCATTCGCAGCACATCTGGGGATCTTTAAATGGTCCATTTTTGACGAGAAGACTTTGGCTTCTCAGGTACTACAGGAGAGTCTCTCAACAGTAACCCCCTGCGGCTGAGCCCTGTCTCTCTCAGATGCACCTGCGGCACCATGTGGTCACTTGTGGACATTCTGCTTCCAGGCCCAGTGAGCCCTGACCTTCCTCCAACTGCCTACAGCCAGACAGATGCCCCAGCGACCCCAGGGTGTGTGCATGACCCACACGAGTGGCCTCTTGAGGCCCTTCCCTTCCCTCGTCTGCAGCTCCCACCCCTCCGCTGGGGCCCTGTGCTCTCCTTCCCGCCTCGGCATTGTCTATCATCGCTGCCCACTGACAGCTGTCTTCTCTCCCATGCACCCCACGTCCAGGCAGGGCAGGGCCTCGGGCTCTGGGCCCGGGGGTCACCTCCCCTCCACAGCCATCTCCTAGGTCAGTGAGGGGGAACCTTCACTGATACAAACAGCCCATGGCAGCACACGTGCTGTAGGTTTACCACCACTGCCCCAGGTGAACCACGAGCTCTACTGCACATTCCTTGCCCACTGCCTTACCAAGAGTCACCTCCCAGGACTCCCACAGGGGTCACTTCTGACTGACTCACAGTGCCTCTGGCTCCGCATGAGGCAGGGTCCTGTGGTCTCAGGGGAATCCTGGCCCTAGCTGGCAGCTTCTGAGGAGGCCTCAGGATGTTTCCCTGGACCCAGGGAGGGCACTGTGTGGCCCAGAGGGTCCACAGCTTCAGCACCATGCAGGGAAGAGAGCTTCCTAGAGACAGGGGCTGCGGAAGGAAATGGTGCCTGGACCACAGGGCCAGGGGTGCACCCAAGGACACACAGTCCCAGGCTTTCCCCCGTCCCCAGCCTGCCAGGAGGCTGCCACTGGGCAGAGACCTCAACCACACCACAGAGAGGTGTGGAGCTTCAAAAGGGCTCTGACACACGTGGACACAAACTTCACAGACCAACCATTAAAGACAAAGAGCAACATCTGCATGCCAGGGACCTAAATGGAAGCAGACTTCAGAGCCTCGGGTGGGTAAAGGGCAAGCAGCGAGCTGTGGGGGGCACCCCAGGCAGCCTGAAGTTTGTCACTTGCTAAAGCTCAGCACTACAGAGCTGCCCACGGCAGCAGGGGCCCAGGCTGGGCAAAACCAAGTCTGGGTTTGTTTTGGGTTTTTTTTGTGGTGCAAAGGGTTGAACCCTGGGCCTCGCACCTGTTGGTCAAGAGCTCCCCTGTTGAGCTAGAGCCCCAGCCCACAAGGCTGGTTTAGACCACCACGGGATCAGGCACGATCCAGGAGGGCTACTGCCCGGCCTGGGATGATCCACAGGGGCTAAAGCCTTCATTCACTCAGCACGCCCTGCCCCTCTCCCTGGCCCTCCCCTTCCCCCACCACCCCCCTGTCCTCCCCAGCCAGGTCCCCACCTGATTTTTCGAAGCAACGTGTGGAAGGGCCGGAAAAGCTCGGACATGTCCTCCACCTTGCGCTCCAGGTTCAGGGGTCCATCTGCGTAGACCACAAGGCCACTGCAATAGAGACACATAAACCAACCCGGTTACCCTGGGACCCCCTGGGGAGGGGCCCGGGGACTCAGCATCAGCACCTGCACTGGGACCGTGTGACAGCCCTGCCTCCCACTTCTAGTTCCACCGCTGACCCTCATGAGAGGGTCTTAGAGAAGCTCAGAAAAAGGCAAGGAGAAGAATCACCCAGAACTTCCCATCTTCTGACAGTGACTAGTGCGTGTGCACGAGAAGGGCCATAAACTCGTCCTAAGAATGGACTCGTACACGTTAGTCACAATCAGCCCAATTACTGTGAAGATTTGTCAGTTAGACCCATGTCCTTGGGAGCGGAGGGCCTGGAACTGGGTCCAAATTGATCTGTGCAGCTTTCTGAGCACGAGACCTGAAACCGTCCTCTCCAAAAGCAAAACACAAGTTGCGGAACAGAGGCGGCGCGTGGACTCCCCAGCTCCTCCTCGAGGCCGCCCCCTCCCCAGTATGGGGCTTTCTTTCCTCACTGTCCCCAGGCTGGCATCCAGCTCAGCACCTGCTGAAGGCCACCCTCTTGGGTGCCACCTCCAAGTGGCCCCACACACTCCTGCAGCCCTGCCCAGCGCCTGCAGAGGGAATTCCATCCACCATGGTCCAACCTCTCTCCTGGAGCCGCCATCCCTCAGACCACTCCTCCCAGGGTCACTGGGTACCTGACAGCTCAGGTCTGGGCCCAGGTCTTGGTACGTCATGGGCCCCCAGGGATCACCTATCTGTCTCCTGTCTCCTGCCCAGGGTGGTGAGGGTTTATCTGTGTGAATGGAAGACACCGCTCATCCCTGCAGATGTGAGGGGTCCTCCTGCCAGGCTTGGGGCCTGTTGTCCCCACCCAACATGGGAAACAACATTGAACTGAGGGAAGGGACTCCTCTCCTTAGATAGCTCGTATTTCATGTGTAAAAGGAAGATTCAAAAGTCAGCAAAAACACGGCTGTGCTTTTGTGTGTGGCATGACAGCTGTGACTGGTGCCCACTGGCCCTGCCAGCAGGAAGGTGAGGGCTTTGACCAGGGCTGTGTCTTCTTAGAGAGCCATCGCCCTGCAGCATCCCAGCCGCAGGGCAGCAGTGCCCTGCGGCCGCCTCCTCACCGAGCCTCACCCTTCCCAGCAGCAGTGCCTCCTTGTGGCTTCAACTTGCATCTCTTTAATGACCAATGGAGCAGAACATTTTTTTTTTCTGGTATGGGAACTGAACTTCGGACCTTGCACTTTCAAGGCAGGTGCTCGCGCCGCTGAGCTATATCCCCAGCCAGTGCTGAACATCTTTTCATGTGCTTATTAGCCACCTGTGTATCTTCTTCGGAGAAATGTCTACACAAGCTTTTTGCTGTTTCTGAATTGAGTTGCTGGTCTCTTTGCTGTTGAGTTGTAAGGATTCTCCATCTATTCTGCACCCTAAGCATTCATCAGACAGATGATTTACAAATGTTTCCTCCCATTCTTTCGGTTGTCTTTCCACTTTGACGATAGTGTCAACTGTGATGAAGTCTGGTTTATTTATTTTTGTTTTGTTGCTAGTGTGTTTGGTGTCAAATCTAAGAATCCACTGCCAGGTCCGAGAATATGAATATTTACTCCTCGAATTAGGGTGAGAGAGACTGGGGGGTGACTGGTATATATTTATTTTAAGGAATTAGTTCATGCACTAGTGGGGCTGGCAAGTCCAGAGTCTATAGGGAGGCCAGCAGGCTGGAGCCCCCTGAAGAACTCCCTCGCACCTGGGGGCCTCCTGTACCTGACCGGATGAGACCCTTGCGCATTATGAAGGGTAACTCACTGTGCTCAGAGCGTATTGGTCTGCACATGAGCCTCAACCTCAAAATGCCTTCAGAGCAACATCCTCACTGGTATTCGGCCAAACATCTGGTGGCCAAGGCCCAGCCAAGTTGACACAGAAAATTAAACATTACGGGGTCCAACTTGGTCTTTTAGAAGTAGCCGCCCACTTGTCCCAGCAGCCTGTATTTAGGAAAATGCTCTTTCCCCCACCGAATGGTCCTGGCATCTGGTCAAAGCTCAGCTGGCCACAGACTTTTGGGTGTGTTTCTGGCCTCTCCATTCTACTCCACCGGTCATTACATGTATCATAAAGCAAGAACCACAGTGCTTTGACTCATAGGTTTTTTTAGTCACTTCTTTTTTCTCCAATCAGATTTTATTGGTACATTTTAGGTCTACATAGTGATCACGTTCATAAGGAATTTGTATCTCTACATGGTATAACTTTATTCTTTTTTTCCCACTCACGTACCCTCCCTTCAACCCCTGTTCCCCTCCCCATTTACAAAAGCTTTATTTCCATTTATTTCCCCAGGGACCCCAGTTAGTCAGTCTGTCAGTCCTGCTCAGTTTGAGCAGAAGAAGAGCTTGATCAGCGCGTGGTAGTTATGGCCACCCTCAAGGGAGAGGGCTGGAAGGTCTAACCCCTGAGTGCTCCAGGCCCTCCAGGTCCCCTCCAGGCCCTCCATCATGTAAAAATGATGTTGCATTTTTCTTTTCTCATTTGTTTTGTTTTTTTTGTTTTTTTTGTTTTTTTTTTGGTTTTTCTCCGGTACCGGGAACCGAACTCACGACCTTGCGCTTGCCAGGCAGGCGCTTTGCCGCTGAGCTAAATCCCCAGCCCTTTTCTCATTTGTTTTAACTTTGCCCTTCTTTTGTTTCTCTCTCCCCTCTGTCTTGTTCCCCTTCCCATTTGAACATTTTCTTCCTACTTCACAATATCTATTATATACATTTTGGTCCTTATTTACACTTTCAGCTTCTTTCACGCTAGAGAAACAATGCAGTATTTACATATGCATGTTCGATTTACTTCACGTGAGTATGGATTCAAGGTGCATCCATTTACCTAGAAATGTCTTGAGTTTATCATTCTTTAGGACAGAGTAGTATTCCATTGTATAAAAATACCATATCGCTTTATCCATTCACCAGTTGATGGGAACTCGGGCTATTACAAACTGCGTCACTATAAACATGGGTATGTACATATTGCTGTGGTATGATGCTTTTAATTCTTTTGGGAAGATACCCAGAAGAGGAATAGCTGGATCGAATGGAATCTCTAGTCCTGGTTTTTTTTAGGAATCTCTGCACGGATTTCTACAGTGGTTGTGTATCAGAAAATGCCCCCACCCTCCACTGGCCAGTATGCTTCAGTTTCTTAGTTGCCCAGGTGATAGTTCCTGTGCCAGTTCTGGTAGCTTCCGGTCTCTCAGAAACAACGGGCCACTGTGGTGCATAGCTGGTCACTATGATGAACATTGTATAAACCAATCTCCAATTGACAGGCCAGGCTGCCTCTGTACTTCCTGCTTGCTTATCCCACGTAAACCTTAGACCACCAGAGATTAGAGTCTGACACCGTGGGAATGATCCCAATCAGGGCCCATTGCTGTGAATAAATCTGCCTCCAAATCCTCGGTGTTGCATCTGGCGCACTGGCTGGGAAGACTGACTGGCTGACACCGGTCATGGCCTCATGGGCACAGCAAGGACCTCTCCAGGTCCTGACAGGAAGGCACGCCCTCAAGATTTCTCAAGTCCCCTCTGAGGTCTGGAGGATTCCTGGCTCCCCACTCACGTGGCTCACATCGGACCCCAAAAGAAGGAGGATGTAATCTGTCTGTCTGCCTGCCTGATTCCAGTAAGACCCCCAGGGACCCCAGTTAGTCAGGCTGTCAGTCCTGCTGTTCGGGGGACCTTGATGGAGCTGGGACAGAGCAACCTTGGAGAAAAGGTGCGGATGGCTTGGCCAGATCTGTAGTTAGAGCCTCCCAGGAAATAGTGGGAGAGTCCTTGACCCCTTGTTGATCCTGCACATGGTGATTAACAGTCCCCCGAACACACAGTGTAAACAGTCAGACTGCTAAAATACATCTCTCCTGCCTACTTCTTCATCTGAGAAGTATGCATTTATCTCAGACATCCATTTTTGATTGGGTCTTTAAATCTGGAGGTCTGATTTCTTTTAGTTCTTTACATGTTCTTGATAGTAATCCTTTGTTTGAGGAACAGCTGGCAAACTTTTTTTCCATACTGTGGGTTGTCTCTTCACTCTTGCTGTGCAAAAGCTTTTTAGTAAGATGATATCCCAGTTGTTGATTCTTTGTGATAGTTCCTGTGTGATCAGGGTTTTGTTCATAACGTCTTTGCCTAAACCGATGTCTTCAAGAGTTCTACCTATTCTATCCTCCAGCAGATTTAATGTTTCTGTTATAATACTTAGATCTTTGATCCATTTTGACTTTAATTTAGTGCATGGTGAAAGATTTAGGTCCAATATTAATCTTCAGCATATGCAAAGCCAATTTTTCAAGCACCATTTATTAAAGAGGCTATCTTCCTTCCAGTGAATGTGTTTGGCACCCTTGTCGAAGATAAGGTAGATAAGTATATCTGGAGATCTTCCAATCTGTTCCATTGATCCTTGGATCTGTTTTGCCATTATCATGCTGTTTTTATCACAGTAGCTTTGTAGTGTAATTTCAAGTTTGGGATTGTGATGCCCCTGCCTTACCTTTGTTGCCCAGAACTGCCTTTGCTATTCTAAACCTCTTCTGGTCCTGAACAAATTTTAGGATTATTTTCTCTAATTCTGTGAGACATGATGTTGGAATTTTGATTGGAACTGCATTAAATCTGTATAACAGTTTTGGAAGTATGGCCATTTTCACTATGTTGTTTCTTCCTACCCAAGAGCAAGGGATCTCTTTACATTTTCTGATAACCATACCTCCTTTTTCAACCTCCTTTTTCAGAGTACTGTATTGATTTGTAGGTTTTGAACTCAGCATGTATGAGTCCTCTAACACTGTTTTTCTTCTTCAATACTGTTTTGCCTCTTCAGGACCCACTGCAGTTCCACGTGAATTTGAGGACCAGCTTTCTCATTTACATAAAGAACGAGGTAGTGGGGTTTTAATAGGAGGTTCAGTAACCACAGATCACTTTGGGGCTTATTGCCATCCTAAGATATTGTCTTTCAATCCATGAACATGGGATTTTTTCCATTTTAGTAGATCTTCTTTAATTTTTTCAGCAGCATTTTGTGACTTTCAGCATCCATGTCTTTTTACCTCTTTGGTGACATTTATCCCTAGATATTTTATTCTTTTCAGTATTACTGTAAATCCCATATTAAATGACGTTTAACTGCATGCATTGGAATATTATTCAGCCTATAAAAAAGGAAGGAAATTCTGATATTTGCAGAATTTCAAAATTCCATGGGTGAACCTTGACCTTATAGCAAGTGAAATAATTCCGTCATAAAGGACAAGTCCTGTGTGATTCCACTTGAGCAGGTCCCTAGAGCAGTCAAACCTACACAGACAGACAGCAGTGTGGTGGGAGGGGAGGATGGGCAGTCAGTGTTTAATGCAGATAGTTTCAGTTTAGTATGGAGCTGGATGGCGGTGATGGTTGTACACTGTCTGAATGTTTTGTTGTTTTTTTTTTGTTGTTTTTTTTTGTCTTTTTGAGACAAGGTCTTGCTATGCAGTTCAGGCTGGCCTTGAGCTCACTCTGTAGCCCAGGCTGATCTCAAACTTGCAATGATCCTCCTGCCTCAGCCTCCCAAGTGCTGGGATTACAGGCGTGTGCCACCAAGCCCGGCTCTAACTGTTCTTAATGACACTGAATGGTGCGCTTAGAAGGGGTTAAAATGGTAAATCATATTTTGCATATTTCATCACAATAATGAAAGAATATTACTTAGCTTTTAATTTATGTAAGTTTATCTGTCGCATTAAGAAATTTTGTAAATCTGTAAAGTAAATACATAGTACGGGGTAACAACTTTTTGTATTAACACACTGGAGATGTTTTACATGACATTTGAGGTTTTTCTCTAAAATTGCTCCACTGGCTAGCCCAGAGGTGGTAAATGTATGGCACGCATGCCACAGCAGGCTATTTGTATCACTGAAAGCTCTACAAGTTTCGCCATAACTGGGCTAGAGTATAACTTTTAAATCAGTCCCTTAATTCTGGCTTTCACCTCTCTCAAACTTTTTTGGTTACTAGTAAGTATCTAGGAATAATCTTTGTAAATATACATTTATGGGGGCTGGGGATTTAGCTCAGCGGCAAAGCGCCTGCCTGGCAAGCGTAAGGTCGTGAGTTCAGTTCCCAGTACCGGAGAAAAACAAAAAAATAAAATAAAATAAAATAAATATACATTTATGCCCTTTGAGACCACTGTAGAGAAATTCTGCAGCAGGCCCCGTGCTACCAGACTCCAGGCCCCGGTGCACACAGGCAGGTAAAGGGGGTGGGTAGCATCACTGTCCTTGGTGGGGAGACGCACATGTAATACAAACCCCACTGACACAGGGGTCTGGACAGGCAAAGCTAGAGAAACAGGAAGCAGTAGTGTCCCTAGGGCACGCGTGTGTGATGGCGGGGATGATGCAGAAGTGGAAAGGGTGCGGTGCGTCTGTGGGTGAGGACGGTGCAGTCAGGGAGACGTGGATCTGTCCCGTGCGGCCTGTGCTCAGGCATGGACAGCGAGGAGAGGTGACAAGCTGTGCACAGGGGGACACCAGGAACAGCGTGTGCCAGGGTTGTCTGATGCCCTGTTATTTCAAAACCAATGCTGCCTAGGCACAGCCTGGGGCACCCTGGGGCCACACTTGGCTGGGAGGACAGCAGGCAGAGCCAGAGCGTCAGTGCAGCTTCCATGGACACGAAGGCCCAGGACAGAAGTCGGAGCTGCAGACGCTGAGGAAGACGGCCTCCGACGCCGGGCCACAGTGTGAGGGGTGAGACGAATGCGGGATACTGCACCTCCAGGCACCTTCAAGGCGCTGTCAGAAAGAGGAGCAGGACCCCACCTCCCAAGGCCGCACCAGTCCCCCAGGTGCAGGGCCCCTGAAGACTCCCAGGCCCCGTCCTGCTGACAAGACAGGTTCTGCTCCAAAGAGCTCTGCTCTTCTCTTTTCAAACAAAGAGACGAGGTAAGGACCAAAAAGGCTCATCGAGGCCATCAAAATGAGTCTGGCCACACCGAGGCCTTTTCCTGGGGTGAAAACCAGAGTGGAGTCACAAGGCCATAGAAGGGGCTCTGCAGGCCAGGGCAGGGCTTCGCCTGCACCCCAGCACCCAGCACTCTCAGCCACTTCATGCTGACCACTGGGACACTGGTCCTCCAGCTCAGCATCCTCAGGCGAAGGGAAATTCCCAAATGCTACTGATTAATAAGGGGATTTAAAGTGACCCCCGTGGCCCCTCCATGGGCCAGGACCTGGCCTGCCGGGTTTGCCGACTTGAGGAAGGAACAAAACTCTGAGGAAAGAGGGAGAGGAGGAGGAGGGTAGCCAGGGCACAGAGACATTAGAAGATTCCAGAAAAGCACTGAGAGTTAAACAGTGCCAAGAGGACGTCCCGGAGATGTCCCAGAAGGGACCCGAGGAGGACACGAAGAGCCAGATGGCCTGACCAGGGCGCTGGATGCTCTCCAGCTCTACCTGTCCCTTTGCAGGGGGAGGCTCCTCCATCCTGTGCAGACGGAACACAGCGCTGTGCTGCCCCACTACCCCCACCCACATGCGCCCCCCACACGCCCCGCTCCCACGGAGGGGCTGCTTGGCCAGCACCTGCGTGTGCCTGTGCCCTGGGCCTCCTCTCCTGGCCTAGCGTGCACCACACACTTCCTGGCCACATCCCAGCTGTGCACACCTCCTGTGGGTGTCTGTCCTTGGACTCCCCACCCCACTCCACCAGCTCTGTACCTACAAGCCAGCTGCCCACAGAGCCACTTTCCTGGCCATGAGGCCAGAGGTCCTGCTCAAGTCTCCTCCTCAGTGACACTGCCTGGCAGCAGGGAAGTGGGTCCCTGTCCGGAGTCAGGAGTAAGCAGCAGGGAACAAGCCCAAGACACCTAGGCTCTACCTTGGAAATGCTCCGCAGGTGCCTCAGCGCTTCTAGCCTCAGGTACGAAGGCCCCAGTCCAGGGGCTGCCTTGTCTCTGGCCCCCACAGCCAATAAAGGCTGCCAGTGAGCTCCTGCTCTCCCTAGATCTGGTGTCCTTTGCCAGCAGGAAGACTCCTCGCCAGGGAGCCCCGCAGCAAGCACCCCCAGCCCACCTGGCGGTCACCTCTCCACCAGCCCAAGAAAGGGTCAAACCTACCAGAGGCACCTTGTCCTCCTGTCACTGCAGAGCCCCTGCATGTCACTCTACCCTGGAGGCAACCCCAAATGGCCTTGTGTGGAGGGCAGCGTCTGTGACCAGTGAGCTGCTGTCCCTTGCACCTGTCCCATGGCAGGTGACAAGGGTCCAGCCACCTTGCTCCCTCCCACACAAAGTTAAGTAGGAGGTGCTGTGGATTCTCAGCTTCCTATCTGCTGGGGAGGCCCAGTGGCCCATCTGGTGACTGCTCCAGAAAGCTGAGGGGCAGGGCATGTTATGGCTTCTTGCTCACAGGTGAGGCTCTGGGGAGGTGACTGCATCATGGGTGTGATGTTGGGAGGTGAAGCCTGGTGGGAAGGGGAGGGTCACTGCGGGTGTGGCCTGCAAGGTACACATGCCTCGTCCTCTCTGCTGCTTCCTGCCCTGCCATGGACTGTTTCTCCTCTGTGCCGCCCCTCCACCATGCCTCCCCACCTGGGAGCCAGCTGACTATGGGCTGAGAGCTCTACAAAGTGTGGCCTAAGGAAAACCTCTCCTCCCTTCACTTGTGGGTGCCAGGTATTGTGTCTCGATGATGAGGAAGTAACTATGACAGGCGTGAGGACGGCCACCGACAGGCAGGAGGGGCACTTACCACACGATGGCCAGCCGGGGGATGGTGAACATGAGCGCTGGCTCGTAGTCGTCGATCATGTCCTGGGTGAGGTACCCGCAGTCCAGGGCCCTGGCCAGGGAGAGGGAGTGAGTGGCGCGTCCAGGGCTGACCCAAGTGAGGGCAGGAGAACAGTGCACCGACCCTTGCCTGTGCCTGCTGTACCCCTCACCACGCAGAAGCTAATGCTGGAGAGGCCGCCCTGTTTGGATGGCCCTGCAAGAGGTGGTTAAGTGCAGTCTCCACCTGTCCTCCACCTGCTCCACCTCAGCCCCAGGAAAGGAGCGGAAGTGTGGGGAGCAGGTGAGGTGTGCAGGGACAGCGGTAACGTTCCACGAAGACTGCTAGGCAGCAGCTTCGCCCAACCAGGAGACTGGAGCACTCTAGCACCAAGAATACACAGGACAAAATATTCAGGAAGCGCACACTTCCTGAGGAACCGGGTTGCTGCCCCCTCCCTGCACAGCCGCGGCTTCTCCACACCACTGAGCAGGTGCAGCTGCCAGCGACTGTGAGATCGAGAGTACTTCCTGTCACATCATTTTCTGGCAACTGGAAATCTCTCTCAAAGAACCAGGAGTGAATAATCTGTCTTTTAAAAATAACAAACTTGGGGCTGGGAAGATAGCTCAGGAGTGCAGCGGCTGTCTGGCAATCGCAAGGTCCTGAGTTCGATTGCCGGTACTGCTCCCCCAAAAGAACCAAACTTGTGATGGGATACTGGTCAATTTCAAAACTTACTAACAGCACAGCAAACTGGAGAAACACAACTGAAGACTTGGCCCACACACACACTCAGAAAACCTGACTTTGATCACACTGATGAGTCACCCCCAAAAGTAGGCTCAGCAGGCCCGAAGCCCTGCATGGTCCCCATTGTGGGCTGTAACGGTGAGGAGCCAGGAGGTGAGCAGGTGGGGCGAGGGTGGGTGCCAGCGTGTGGGCAAATCCCGCCAGGCTTCCTTCTCATCACACAAGTCCCCAGCACTATCCCTCGGGGCCAGAGAAAAGGTGGGACAGACGGGATCAACAGGGAGACTTTGCCCTCTGCCCCCTGCACAGAGAAAATGGTGGGGAGGCCAGCAGCCCGGGCCCCTCCGACAAGGCCCAAGCCAGGGCAGCCCCTGCCGGTCCTCACCTCTCCACGGTCTCGCAGAACAGCACGATGACCTCCTGCTGCACGTAGTACTCCCTGGGGGACTTCACGGGCACCATGGCCGAGACGTAGCTGCAGACACAGCAAGGTGGATCAGGCCCGGAGCCCCCTGGGCCTCCCCAAAGGAGCCCGTAGACCCGAGCTTCGTCAGCGCCACAGACGCAGCTGTTGGCTCTGCAGTGCTCTTTCAAAGCAATGCTCCTGCGGGGCAGGTCCAGCACTGCCTCAGACCCCACAGCCCTGCCCACCCCAAGCCATCCCTGCCGCTGAGCAGCGGCCCCTCCCTGGCCCCAGCAGGACGGGTGAGCAAGTAGACAGGGTGCAAGGGTGTGCGTGTGAGCAGACAGCCCCGTGCGCCCTGTCATGCAGAGTCAGGCCACGCTGAGCTCCGCCCGGGAGCGAGCTCCGGCTGGGCGCAGGGACTTGGGGCGTCTGCTGAGCACTGGGAGCCTGGGACAGCTGCCCGGCTGTTCCCAGAGGAGAACGTGTTCCTTCCTTCTAACCACCAACTCCGACCCTTGCTTGCCACGAAAGCCTAGTCAGAAACTCCAAAGAAGGGAAGAAAGGAAAGCCCAACAGTTGGCACCCCCATCTCCTGGACCACTCGGAGGGCCTGCTGGAGTCCGCAGAGCACAGCTCACTGCCACCCTGCCCTGCCTCACCCGTGGCGAGCTGTGCACAAAGCACTGGGGCCCCTCCGGGTCCGACCCGAGGCCGCGACACCACAGCCCTCTGGGCTGCAGCCCAGCTCTGCCTGCATCCCTCCCTGCAGGCCCCGCACCCCACGCGCAGCCCCCAGGGCTCCCGGCACCGGCAACGGCAACGAGCCCCCGCAGGCTGCTCCCTGCTGGGCCCCTCGTGGTTTTTCCCCATTTTGTTCGTTTGTTGGTTGGGTTTGGGTTTTTCCGGGTTTTTTCAGCACTGAGGATTAAACTCACGCCCCTTGCACTGAGCTGCATCCCCACCCCACCCTACTTTTGAGACAAGGTCTGGCTAAGTCACTAAATTGGCTGGGTTGGGCTCAAACTGGGGATACTCCTACCTCAGCCTCCCAGAGTGCTGGGATTACAGGTGTGCCTCGAATGGTGGAATTTGTTAGCTGGAAATATGAGGGACCACCCCCGACCCCCGAGAACCAGTTTACGGGCCTAGTGAAAAGGCCGCGTCTCCCATAGCTCGGCACCTGCCAGGGCTATCAGGGTCACCTGAGCTCGAACTCGGCAAACAGGACGTCAAAGTGCCTCAGCGCCTCCCGCATCTTCTCTGTGTAGGTGCTGAGGTCACGCAGCGCCTGGTCGCGGAGGGCACCCCGCACGTCCTCCAGGCTGCGGGTCAGCTCCTTGGCCAGCGGCCGCATGGCCATGCTCTCCAGCTCCCGGTTCATGATGATGGAGCCGGCGGCCAGGCACTGTGGGCAGAGGACGCGCTGAGCAGAGCCCAGGTTCTCAGGAGGCCCCGTCCCCAGCACTCCCCAGGCCTCAGTGGTCCCTGCTCCTGGTCCCCTCCAAGGTTCCTCAAGTCCAGAGCAAACAAGGCAGCAACGACAACGGGCCTTCCTGTGACCAACATGGTCCCCATCTGGACCCCGAGCAGGCCGGGAAGGCAGGGCTCTGTGCAGGGGGGCCGGGATGTGACCCCTGTGCCTCCCAGGCCTGCCCGAGGGTTGACTGTCGCCAGCAGGGACACGGCATGCTGCCCAGGCTCCCCGAGCATGTGCCCCTGGCTGGGAGGCCACAGGCACAGTGCGTCGGTGCACTCGGGGCTCAGGGACACCTGACGGTCTTTACATCCACACTCGGGGCCTGAGAGCCACCCGTTCCCAACAGGTTGGGGGCCCCTCTGCACCCACAAAACTCCACATCTGCCAGACTCCAGGGTTTCACCAGCTGCTCTCAGGCTGTGGAGCGCAGAGGCTCCCAGAGCCCCTTTGAGGTACGGGCTCCTGTCCCCAGGCTGGGTGGTTGCCAGCCCATCCCTATCGAGTCAGGACAAGAAGCGATATCCTAAGTGGCCGAGCAGGAGAGTGCTGATTCCCCAGAGCAGCGGGGAGCTGTGGGCACCATGCCCGGAGACTGCACCCCGCATACACACACCCGGCCCAGCAAAGGCAGCATCTGCCTCCTCTGGCACCACTCACAGCAGCCCTCTGCCCAGGGCCCGTTAGCGAGCCGGGCACCCAGGTGGGAGGAGGACGCCTCAGCAGCAGGTTCAGAGGAGCGAGGTAGGCAGTGGGGTGGGCAGAACTGGGCTGGGGCGGGCAGATCCAGGGAGGTGTGGAGAGGAGGCCAGGGAGGATGAGGAGGCCCAGAGCTGATGGGCACAGTCAGAGCCCTAAGGTCAGAACTGCATGGCCAAGGGGAAGACAGGGAGGGTCACAGGAAATCACTAGGCTGGGGAGACACTGGTCCTGCCATCAGGCAGCGGCACCTCCTCTTGGTACCTCAGTTTCCTCTTTGGGAGATGAAGACAAAACTCTGACCAGCTTCTGGGAGATGCGGCAAGAGTAAGGCCTAGCAGAGCCCACATACTATTGCCATTGCCATAAGTGAGGGAGGGAAACTGCCTGCCTGTGTGTGTGTGTGTGTGTGTGTGTGTGTGTGTGTACTAGGAATGGAACCTATGGCCTCGAACCTGCTAGGCAAGTGCTCTATCACTGAGCTCCATCCCTGGTCCTTTTTTTAAATTTAATTTTTATTTTTTACATTTAAATTTAATTTTTATTAATTCAAGTTCAAGCTGGGCTTGAACTTTTGACCCTCCTGCCTCAGCCTCCTGAGTAGCTGGGATGATAGGGATACACCACCACACCCAGCTAGAACTCCTATCCTCAACACTGGTGTTACTGCTACTAAGAACCATGTGTGGTCCTCAATGTCCGGGGCCCTAAGAACCTCCTAAGCATCTATGGGAAGCTTCACTCACACCAGCAGCCTCGGGGCACAGGTTCCTGCTTCCCCAGCCCACCTAGGGGCACTGTGTCCTCACAGGCTCAGACTATGCCATATAAGCTACCTCAGCACCGAACCACAGCTGGCCAGCCAGGTTGTCGTGCCGGATCTCCTCGGGGAACTTGACGCAGAAGTCCCGGGGGGCACGGTCCTGAGGGATGCACTCGTCCATGATCTGGTTGATGATGTTTAACACGTTGTCCTGAAAGAGAACGGAGACCAGTGTTCATCACTGCCCAGCTGGCGGCTGTCAAGTCCCGCGGGAAATGTGCACAGCAGGATCGAGGCACACAGCCGTGCGCGCTGTATGACCTCAGGAAAGATGCGCACACACCAGGGCGTCCACAATGGAGGAGGCTCCAAGGCTCCTTGCTCGGGAGCGTGACCCCAGTGTGTTCTCTAGGACACAGGGCTGCCACAGCGTTCTGAGTTCATGCATGTGTTGACTCTGGGAGACTTCCCAGGCCCGAGGCAGGAGTCCCCTGGCCTTGGTTACTCAGGTGGCAGCCCCGCCACCCACCCCCACCAGGGAGGCCCTGACTCTAGCCCCAGGTGCAGCCTGGGCCAGGACCACCCACTTCTCCCACTGCTGCAGCCCCGTCTGCAAAATGGAAACCCCTGTCTGGGGCTGTCCGGAGGACGGAGTGAGCTAAAATTTGCAAAACGCTCCGCTGCCCGAGCCTCCGCACACAGTGAGGCTGTTTCAAAGACCCTTCAAAGTTATTTTACTTTCTGCTGCTCCAAACGCAAAGCACAGCAGCAGCCCAAATCCATCCCCCCTTTCCTTTAAAATTGTCCTACTCTTTAAACATCGACCTTTGATTCCACAGGATGCTAAGAACGTTGCACACTTCGTGACTTTAACTTTTTGGAATATAAAATCATTAATGTACACTCGTCCTAGGAAGTCGGGAAATGACGGGAAAGCATGGCGGCAGAGAAGGTGTCCGTAGTGCAAACATCCACCGGCTGGGCCTACTTCCTTCCCGTTCACGTTCCGGTCCCCCGCTGGCCTGCTCCTGGCTGCAGCTGGAACTTCGCGAGCACCTGACTTTGTATTGTGCTGCTGTCAACGCGGATAGTCATCGCAGCTCTGTCCCAGCCCAGCTCTCACTGGAGGCCCGCAGGCCGCCCAGCCTCTGCTTGGGACACTTCTGGGCTCCTACTTCACGGGAATAATGCGGCCACCTCCGGAGAGTGCACAGCTCCAAGTTGGGGGTCACTTCCTCAGGACCCCTGATATCTAGCAATGGAACTGGAAAGTCTCCAGGCTCTGATCAGGTGCTGCCACGCCACTCCCGAGAAAGATGGCACTAATTGGTTCCCTCGCCCTCTGTGATTCTGAGTCTCAATGGCGCTCTGAATTTGCGCACGTGGTGACTCTGGGAGCCGTCCCGGGCTCAACATCCCCCGCTTCTGCCCTCAGACCTGAGTTTCATGCTTCTTGGGAAAGAGATAGAAGTCGCCATGAGTGGGGAGACACAACCTTTCTAGGGCAAGAAGTCTGGGCACTAATGCTGCAGGGAAGGCTGCAGCCTCAGGAAATAATGTTAATGAAGCCTCGACAACACAAACATTAAAATAAGACCCAGCCAGCAAGAAGCCGTGCTACTGTCATTTGTTTCTAAAAGGTTCCTGGGTAGAAAGGCCCTTTTCTCACCATTCAATAAACTCAAGAGTAAATAATGACAATAATAGCAATAGTGCATAATAAACTCCAATCAGTATTTAGAGTCAGGGATCAGCCAGGCACACCCATAATCTCAGCTACTCAGGAGGCTGAGGCAGGAGCATCACAGTTAAAGGAGCTGGAGTGCAACTCAGTGGTAGAGCGCTTGCCTAGCAGGTTCAAGGTCCTCTGTCCCACCCCCAGCACTGCAAGGAAAGGGCAAAGCATGGGGGGTCAGCGTGGTGGCCTGGCATGCCAGAGTTGTGTAGCTTCTGGGGCAGAGCTGGACACCTTGCGCACCCTGCCTGTCCACCCAGCCCCAGCTGCCTGGGCAGGGTCTTGTTCTACACACAGGTAAGTCCCCAGTGCCTGGCACAGCGTCTCATGCAGAGTGTGAGTCAATAAACATTGCCAGGACTTCCGGAAAGACACCCAGGCAAGTCCTGGAGCACCCAGCACACTGCAGAGGGGAACTTCTGGTTGGCACGGGGAGCTGGCACTCAGTGGGCCCAGGCAGTGAGGTTCCGGAGGACAGGGGGCCACAGGAGAGAAGCCCGGGGACCAGGAGTCCCGCTGGAGAGCCAGCAGAGGGAGACGGTGTGGACGACTCCTTGTCCTCGGCTCTCTCATGGACTCCCAGGGACAAGGAAGATGTGTCTGGACCTGGCTGTAACCTCTCAGAGCAGCACGCTGCACGTCTCCAGGGACATCCCTCCGTGCCTGACCTCAGCAGGGGCAGCAGCTCTCAGCCAGCCACTCTCAAATTCACTTGAAATAGCGCTTTGTCATCAGCCCAGCGCCCATAAGCACCAGCTCCCGTGAACAGAAATAAAGGGTCAACAGTTGTCCCTTGAGACCATGCTGTCCTTCCCTCCACAGGACCTTGGGGGGTGGCCTCCTCCCTCCGAGGGCAGGGCCGGGGCAGGAGCTATTTCTAAGGTGAGGTCCTGGGAGCAGGGAGGCCAGGCCTGGAGTGGCCCAGGGCACTGGGGGCGGAGCCCCTTGCACAGCGGCGTCTCTTTAAGCAGGCCAAGTAGAGGAACTGGACCGTGCTGGAGCAAAATCCAGGCTCCCGCGTGCCACTTACAGGAGGCACAGAGGGTGCAACCCTGAAGACCACAGGGGCTCCCTATTGGGTGAACACACGTCAGTGTCCCCTCCCAAGACAAAGGATCCAGTAAGTCCTTGTGGGACAGGCATGGTGGGCACCAGCTGTGTTTGTATGGCCTATAATCTCAGCACTCAGGAGGCTGAGGCAGAAGGATTTCAAATTCAAGGCCAGCCTGGACTATATTGCAAGTTCAAGGGTAGCCTGGACTGCACAGGCAGACCCTGTCTCAAAAACAAACAAACAAAAAGACTTCATGGGCAAAACACACTGGAAAGGGTCCCAATCTTTGTGAGGACCTTGCCTGCTGATCACTTGACAAAACCCTGCACCATCCCTCCGCGTTCCTGGAGACGCCCCTGAGCGTCTGGCGCATGGGAAGAAAACGATGTCAGCGGAGATATTTTTAGCAGCGGCTTGCAGGGCTTCTGTTTATTATGCAGCAGTAGCTCTGGCACCGTTTGTCAGCCTGGAGCGTGGTCACGTCACCCCACCAGCGCTACACACACTGCCCAGCACCTGTCCTTCCTGCCAGCTCTCCTCACTGCCTCCCAGCTCCGGGTCCCCCAGGCGACCCATGCTGTCTGCCACCTGTACCCAGCTCCCTACCCATCTTGCTCCCCTGGCTGCCCACCTCCTTGGTCTGTGTCCCCAGAACCGCCATGGCTGGCCCTGAGAAGGTCCCTGCAGGGTGTGAGTAGGTGATACAGCCTGGGGGTCACCAGGGCTGGGCCGCTCCATCCCACACTCCCCGCTCACCTGGCAGGAGCGGAACTGGCTGACGAGAAGCGTGCAGCGCTGGGGGTCCTTCCGCCCGTCCAGGCTGTCCAGCTCCGCGGCCACTTGGTTCAGCTCCTCATCGGCATAGTAGAACTGGGCCAGCAGCTGCGGGTCGGACCTCTGGGGAGACAGACACTGGGCGTGTGAGTGAGAGTGACCGGGAGGGACACAGGGTCACTGCCCGGCCAAGTTCCCAGCCCAGAACCTCCTGCCCTGAGCAGCGGCCAGCTCTGCCTGCAGATTCCCACATGCAGAAGTATCTCAGAACACAACCAGGGCAGAGCTACAGGCCACCAAGGCTGGGGCACCTCTCAGACTTGGCTCCATCCCAACCCCGGGGTCCTCATCCAACACAGACGAGGGGCCCTGTGAGGAGCAGGGCCAGGGGCTGCAGGATGATGAAATAGCTCTTAGCAAAGATTTTATTCCCAGATCTGAACAGAAATGATAAAGATGACCAACAAAGGAAGTGGCCTGGGGCAAGACAATACATTCTCCACCGAAACGCAGAAGCAGACATGCCCAGCAGCTTGCCCACCCTGCTCGCTGGAAACCTCTCAGCCCTTCCGGTGCAGCCCCAGTGCAGGCAGTGCCTCTGTTCGGGGCTCCCCTCACTCTAGACTCAGACAGGCTCAGGTCTGGGTCTGGCTACCCCACACTGAGCAAAATCCAGGCTCCTAGCCCTCAACTGGGCCTGCTGGCCTCAGCCCCTCGCTCCACCTGGAGTCCATGCAGGTCCCCCGGCACCAGGTACCAACAGCCTGTCGCCTGGACCTGAGACTCCAGGAGCAAGGGAAGCACAGGGAAAAGGTCACAGGTGTCAGGAGGCGTTCTTTCTGTATAACCATCCAGAGGAAGGACGCAGGAGGGGGACCTGCACCCAACCACACCCTGGCACAGATTTCACACTGGTTCTACGCGCTCGTGTTGCCCCGTGTGCACATGCACCACACAAAGCAACCCCTCCGCTCACTGCCCTACCGAGGAAGGCTAGTGCATGCTGCATTTGGCACCGCAGTCATAAACTTCTTCAAAGTCATGTAACTTCCTCGAATCGCTGTTCGTTTCTGTCCCAGCCGCGCCTCCCCTGCTCTCTGGCCCACGCCCTCCCTCCGCACGGCCTTGTCCCAGGGAAGCTTCTCCTAGGCTGCAGGGCACACAGGGGCATGAGCTTTCCCAGGACTTTCCAGGAGGCTGGGGAGACACCTGGCCATCCAGCAGCTCCCCTGCGTACCCAGGACACGGCTCCCCCTCCTGCGTGCTGGCCGATTCAGCAGATGCTGGAGGCGGGTTTGAGAGGGCACCGATACCATCCCACCTCCTGTGGCGCGGCGCCTTCTCTCCACAGCTGGGCCGATGTCCTGGGCTCCTGCCAAGTCCAGGATGAGCCTCAGCTCCCCCCACCCTGTGGCCGCTCTGCGATGAAGCAGGACCCACACTGCTTCAGTGTGTGGAAGGCGGGAGGCGCTCGGCTCCGGCCTTTCCCGGGTACAAGCCCAGGAGGGCGCACCGTCCGCAGCAACGAGGAAGGAGGCCCTGCCCTCTGCTTCTGACACAGCCCCCAAATCCCAGCCCAGCTTTGTGGCACCCCCGCTCACCCGGTTGGGTTCCGGTTCCTCCATTTCCTGTCCAGGGAAGAAGGGAGCCTGAGATAGCACCCGGTTACCAGTGGGCAGAGCCACCACTTCCCGCCCCTTCTCAGCTAGCACCAAGCTCGCAGCAGGCCCAGCGCACCTGTGCAGGACACCATGTTCACGGTGAGGCCCCTGGGGCCTGCACCAGCTCACCAGGGCCCGGCATCTGGGGGCCTGGGAGCGCAGGGACGATAAGCCCAGTCCCACACCTGACGCCTCGCTACGGCTGAGTGCACCTCAGAAAAGAGCCAAAGCCCAAATCCCACTGCAGCTAGGAAGACAAACGAGCCCCACCCTGCATGTCGCCCAGCCTTGACGCTGCCTCGCGGACAGGATGCCAAGTGGCCCGATAACCACGCCAGGCGCTGAACATAGAGGATACTGAACCTCCAGGAAGCAAAACCCCTGCTGCAGAGAGAGGGCACGACGAGCAGGCTGCCCCACCTGCGCACACAAAGGACGGCTTGAGGTCCTCCCTTCTGTGCCCAAAGACCTCCCCACGTGCACACAGAGCCCGGAGTAAAATACAACTCCGGGTCGGCTGGGGCCCTCCCTCCAGTCCGCAGAGGAGCAAGCGCAGCAACCATGACGGTGCACACAACACGGTGACAGCCACGGTGCTCACTGGGGGACAGCCACGCCGTCCCACACTTCCCACTTGTCACCCACCCCATGTGGATGAAGGAAGGGGCTGAGCCGACCCACACTCGCTCCTGTGTGCCCTGGATGGGCTGACAGACAACTACTGCATGGGTGCACAAGTGTGTGAGTAGGTGAGCATGCACAGCGTGTGCACATGCGTGTACATGCTTGCTATGTGCGAATGTGTGCGCTAAGCCCACATGTACCGTGTGAGTATGCCTGCGTGTGTACGAGCCCAGTGTGCATGTGTGTGCACATGGTGCGCAGACTGGGGCAAGGCCAGGTGGAGCTGGCTGGGTTCCTAATGGTGTCGCCCAGCCCCAGACTTAAGGCCACCCCCGTCCTCTAGCTCACAGCCTGCAGTGCTGCTCGCTTCACAACTGGGCCCTCGTGGGATGGCCACACAGCCCGGTGACAACAGGGAGTGAACAGAGGAAAGCTGTGCCGCTCAGGCCACAGCAGAGAGCGCCACGACTGGATGATGAGGACAAGAAGCCTCACTGTGCTGGTTACTGTTAACTGTGTCAACTAACTGTGGCTTGGGTCGCACCCGGGGAGTAGTAAAGCGCACTTCGGGTGTGTCTGTGTGGGTCATGAGCTCCACCCATGGGGGATGTATCTGTTCCCTCACCACCCCCTCCCCCGTGCTGTTTTCAGCCGCCATGAGCTAAGCATCTTTACCCCGCCGCACCCTTCCGCCATGATGCTGCTGTCTTGGGGCCAGCTGACGGTGGAGACTCCTCGGAAACCAGGAGCCAAGTAAACCCTTCCTCCCTTAAGTCGTGGGTGTCAGGTACTGCGTCTCCGCAACAGAAAGGCTAAAGAACACGCTCCTGGGTCCTCAGCGCCCATGAGGGGAGCATTATCACAGCAGAGGAAGGCCCAACACCTGCTGGCACCATGCTAACGCCCCTAGTGACTGCTGCACCGCTAGCATCCTTAACTCCTTGCTGGCTCTCACTTACTTTCCAGAGGCCGAGGCTGCGTGGCTCTTCCATTCATGCTCACTCTAGGTGGGGCCGGCTGCTGTCATGACCACCTGCCAGCAGGACGGTCCTCATCAGCACTACAGCAGCAGCCCATGTCTCACCCCATCCCCACAGGGCAGGTGCCACCAGGACGGGCTTCCCCAGGGAAAATGCTAGGAAGGAGCCCTGTCAACAAAAGAGGATGCAGGAGCCCTGTGGGGCAGCTGTGCTAGCGCCCCACAGGCACAGCTGGCCAGTTATCGGGATGGGTCTCAAGGGACCCTCTGGCT